GGCGTGCTAGTTTGTTTAGGGGCCGTCCATAAATGACGTCACGCGATTTTGGACGATTTTTGACCACCCCCCCCCTCTTCGTCACACGGCGTCACAAAAAGTCAGACCCCCCCCTCTCAAATATGACGTCATAAAGCGATGCCCCCCCCCCCCCCCCCAAAAAAAATATAAAACATGCTTCAAATCGCTTTAAACTATTGTCATTGTAGTGCGTATTTAATGTGGCGCTGCACTCTGATGTTGTAGGAGAAAACATTAAAAAGTCTATTAAGTTAAGTAGAACATGTTGTCTACATTTATTTCAAGTTGCGCATTTTGATGTGACGTCACATTTCCCCCCTCGTCACACATCGTCACAAATGTCTGACCCCCCCGCCAGGTGCGTGACGTCATTTATGGTCGGCCCCTTAAGCTTTCGCGACCAATATTCATAATAAAGTTTGTTTGGGTTAGCTCCCATATATGTAAATGTGTCCATCCGATATAGCCAATTAGGTTAATCACGTGAATAACACGACGTGCCAATTAGTTACTAGTTCAGCACAGCGGCGTGTTTAGAGAGCCAACCTACAACATTTACAATATGAATACTGTACGACGTTTCGCTGGTGATTGCAACCGGCATCATTGTTCGAATGCCCATATTGTACCAGTTTGCATGAGTCGCACGTCTACTGTATACGGTGGAATTTGAATACAGAATGGAGGACATGCATACACGTGGATATCCAAGCATTCACAACTAAAATCAAGGTGTATTATATACCATACATACTTTTTATGTTATTGCCAGGTGAATGCCGGTTGTGCTAAACATAATCGCGCCAGAGGGCAAAGAGACATCCATAATATTATAGCCTTGTTGTAGCTGCTCTCTCGCTAGTTCAGCTGGATTCTATTTTTTCCGCCTGAGGACGACCACTTGTGTTCGAAACGTCGTGATTTATTTTATTTTATACCTACGTGACTTTACCGAAAGAACCAAAGAGTATGTAGCTCAATTGTCAACACATTGCCAACGTGTAGGGGGTGGATTGGTGGCGCAGTAGTTAGGGCACTGTGATATGACGTCAGAGATCTGAAATAGAATCCTCGAAATTACGAACTTCGGTAAGCAATTGGAGTGCGAATCCTTACTGTTCAAAAAATTCATAAATTAGTACGTGGTGCAATGTGTAAACTTTAGCACTGGGAACACAACGGCAGCCGAACGTGGTTTTTGCCACAACACTCATACGGACGTTGAAGCCATTATATATGCGCAGAGTGCCCACTGGTAATCACGTGTGTGTGGTGCTTTACAGGGTATATTGTTTATTGGCTTTGTGTTTTCAATCTGAAGCAGAGCCCCTGAACTTTGTTTGCAATGACAAGTGTCAGATGTGTGGCGCAGTGAACATCCGAGCTGGGGATACAACATGGGCTGTTGCCATCCTATCCCGGTTTATACTTGGATCGTCCTCTCTTTCAAGTAGAAGCTGTCCTGTAATAAGTAATATATATAAATACTTTTTTTTAAAACACGCTTTAATGAAATGTACCGTGCTAGTAATGGAAGAACTACACGACTCCAGGAAGTGGCCCCGAAGCTTGCCATAACTTAAGGGACCGTGGTCATTTACAGCCAAAGTAAGTTGAGCGTGGACAATAAGACCCAAGCTGAAACATAACATATAAAAAATAATGTTTTTAAATGTTTTTTATGATAGAATATAGTATTGGCATCAATATGTCATAAGTATACCAAGTTTGCAGTCGATACCACATTGGGAAGTGGGTAAAAATTGAGTTACTAGATTTGAGGATACAACAACAGAGTGAGTTAATAAAAAGTGTGTAATAAAAATGTCTTTCCGGGACATGAAAAGGCCCCGAGTGTTGTCATTTGCGCAGTAGTAATAATAATACACCACTCAAGATAATGTATATTTATACGTAGCAATCACTTCCCAATGTATCGTGAAATAAGCTTCCTCTTCTGGCGACTACTATAAATACCCACAAGCCACTTCGATGTGCTATCATGTCTTGCCAGGTCGCCTCGTGGGCTTTATCTGGTAAATACAAGTTTAGATTTCACTTTTGTTTACTGTCACGTTTTTTTTAATTGTACTGTACCTCAGAAGTGGTAATCACAGACACAGGTGTGGGCATGCCAGAGATTCATAGATGTTCTAAGATAATTGCGTTTTCCCATACAAAAAAAATGCATCGTTGGGTCAAAGTTCCACGTTTACTGTGCAGAAAAGGTTCAGGGTAACCCGGGGTGTGTCTACGCATCTCTTACGTGCAACTGTTTGAATACGCATTACATTTGAGCGATGGCGCAGTGGTAAGCGTACACGGGTCTAGAATACAATCCCGACCACTGCTAACGTGCGTGGCGGTTGATAAGATAACTACACCGGTTCTAAGCCCCTCGGCACCTTCACCAACCCGCACGAACCAGTGGAGTGAAGTATGATCAAAACACCTCCTCCCCCGTAGCCAACACGGCGTTGGGATGCCTTCAGACAGCAGGGTTGCTGTACATTTCGTCCGAGCACCCGGCTTAACCTCAGAAGGGGAATCCCCCGATCGACCGCGTGGCTTGCCAATCGGCATGTGGTAATCTCGGTCGTCTCAACGACACCCGCTGGTGCTGTTCGGTACTGAACCCATGGCCCCTGCCAATTAGTCTGGGTTCTCTTATTAAAAGTTGGGTCCCGCAACCTCTGTAGTTAATCACCCACAACTGCTTTGTCAACATCTCAGTGAGGTAGTTGAAAAGAAGGTAATTAAACGGGCTTATAATAGCACGTGGTGAAATGCATCACTACCTAGTACACATGGAGCGTTGTTGGGCTGACGTTGAATGTTTACTGGGTATAAATCAGGGGGCGGATCGCTTGAAAGTCGAGTGTCTTTGCTGCGAGCAACCGGTTGCGCAATGGCTTGTAACTGGTTGTCGAAAAGTTCACACGTAAGTGATTGAGTTGTAGCCAATCCAGTTGTGGAGCCGGCAACACGGGAAGTATGGAAAAGAACGCCGCTTAAATGTAATTGCGCGAAACCCACAGGTTCAGTGGAGTTACCGTGATGACATTTCACGATGACTTATTACAGATGTAGTGACATCGCTGTTTGTCAACATGCTGGGTGCAGTGCCGGCCCGACAGGGGCATGGCGTGCAGTGTAGTGACATCGCGGATACCACAATGGTGTGGGTGTAGTACCGCCTACCGGCCCTAGAGAGGCCCGGTGAGCGCTGAATAATAGCGCTCGATGGCACCTCATTTGACGTGCAGTGCCGAGCCTACAGGACAGGGTGTGTGGATGCTGGCCGATGGATGAGGTTATGCGAGGCCATGGCACTCTGGTTGACCCAGGAGGACACGTGACCAGTTAAGTTGACAAAGGGGCTCCAAGAGGGGGCTAGGGGTGGTCACGTGATTGGGACAAAGATCTTTCCCGAGGATTCTAGAAGGTGGACGTGGCCAAGGGTGGAGCCGGCCACGCCACAGAGAACAGCTGGGTCCCGAGAGAAACCCTTCGTCTATGTTCTCCGTTTAACGAGTCTTCAACACGTGGACCTGGGCTGAAGCTGTTGGTTCCGGTCCGTAGTAGTAGTTACATTGTAACTATTGTAGTTAGCTTGGTGGTCACCACCATATGTTGTTATTCTGTGAAGGGGAAAGTTACCCCATGTGTTGGAACTGAATAATTGTGTTGCCTTTCAGTCTCCATCTGCGACGCAGTTGAACCCATTACACATACATTCGTAACCACCTTTAATTTGTTCGTCTTGTGTTGTGTACTTCAAGTATGAAACGTTGGTGCTAGATTGCACGTTTACTGGGGGAAGCACTTCTGGTAGATACAACAAACAAATTCCATAGCCTCCAGATGTACATTCCTTTTGTACATGTGTAGTGACATAGAATGGGTCACTACGGCGCTTAGCGCTGGTTACTGACAGACAGGAATTGTGGGCGTAACAGCCGACCTGCCAGCAGAGCAGGGTGGAGCAGCCGATCTGCCAGCAGAACATGCAATGCCATGGAATGGGTCACTAGGGTGCGTAGCGCTGGTTGCTGGCAGTAGGGGCATATGAGGACGAAGCAGCCCCGCTGGCTAAGAGGGCACGTGATAGGCCGGGGGTAGAGGATGTGTGTCAAAGGTGACTGAGGGGACACGTGGGGTATAGCCCATAACCTTCTGGTGGGTTCCAGAAGGGGGTGTGGCCGAGGGCAGAGCCAGGCCACACCAGGGGGCATAAAAGGAAAGTCCCGATGCTGGATCAGGGTTGTCTGTCGTTGAAATGGAACCTGTCGTGCTTCGTCTTCGTGTCCGGCGTCGTAGGTCAGGCAACGTGCCGGCTGTCCTGACCCGTTTATAGTTATCCCGTGTGTGAACAAGTGTTTAAAGTGTAGAAGAAACGTGTGTTGCCTCCTACTATAAGTGTCTCAAAAGTGACTCACTACACATGCAGGGAATGTTTCTCAGAAACAACCTAGAACGACGATAGTGTATAATCCAGTATGTAATATGACCAAGCCACTATCAATGTACCCAGTCTCATGAGATTCTAGAAGCTAAGCAGGTTTTGGCCTGGTTGGTACTTGGATGGCAGACTGCTCGGGAATACCATGTGTTGTAGGCATGAGTTGAAAAATTACCTAGAGACAGCGGTACAGCAGCGGATTCCTGAATTTGTCCTTGTGGATATTAGTGTTACGCCCCTTGCATGCGTGGCGATGTCTCCGGCACTTGGGTTTCCCCTCGCATGTCAAACATGCGTTAATGGTAACCAGCAGACATATCAATGATGGACTCTAAAAAAAGTGTCGAGAATCGGTGAGGCATTTCCTGGGTAAAGGGACTTTAAAAAATTTATATTGATAGCGCCCTTTTGTCCTAGGAATTATTGTTATTAATTATATATTCGTTTTAACTAAAACTGTGGCAATAAAGGACACAATGCACCGACTGTTTAAATAATTGTATTTAATGCACTTTGTATACGCTTTGAATTATTCCGAAGTAAATGTTTTGTACACGTTACATTTGCCAGTGCGGCCACAACCACTGGATTACAATTTCAACTTGACTGTGCCAATCGGGGTGTACCCCAGTCAGACAACCCATGGCACCTAGGTCTGTCCCGTGACCTGCAAGCGAGAGTTCGACACTTCACGTAGCCTCAAGGTGCGCCTCGTCTGGCACAAGTCCCGTGGTGACGTCACAACCACTTCGTGACGAACGGCAGTTCTACTCCTGGGTTCGATTCCAAAAAAATAATGTATCAGCGGCATGCAATATGTGAACATGACTTGGGTCTCGTCTAGGTCGAATCAGCCTTAAATCAGTACTTTTAGTTCAGTGTGCAAAATATTAGCAATTGGAAGACAAAGGCGAGTGTGGTGCTGGCAACACACCACCCCCCTCGTGCCCTATGCCAGCTTCAACAGGTGCTCGCTAACAGCACTGAACCAGCATGTAAGACTAAATGGAAGATCTTTGAGGGCACAGTAAACATACAATTTGACTAAAGCAGCAGATTATAAGTCATGGTATATGCACACACATACATTTTGTTAATAATTACATACATCGCAGTAGTGTGACTGGTATAAAAAACAAGTTTCAAGTTTCATTTATTAGGTATAGCCCTGTGAGCCATTCGGCTCTTGAATCGGGTGCAACCGCAACAAACAAAAAAACAAAAACATGAACAACACAGCAGTGGTATTCTCATGACTAACTCAACTTCCAGTCAATTTGCAATTCATGATTGACAACACGACGCCTCTGCCTGTCCAGTACATCCAGCAGAGCAATATCATGACGTAATAATATTAATAAGTCATGTTCTTTGCCGAGGAAAACCTCACTGTTTAAAGACTCTTTATTCAAGTGAGAGGTTTGACCAATTCTCTTAAAGAGCCTTTGGCATGTACAAAGAAACTAAGCGGACATATAGAGACATCAACCACATGAGTGAATAATGCTTAAAGACGGATACAACAATGCATTTGATGTGCAGCCATCTTCTGGCCACCTCACAGCCAAGTGGATTCAGAAATGTTAGAGATCTCGACACGATTCATCAACCCTTGCCCCCCCCCCCCCGCAAGCGCTGGATTGCAGACGTTTGCCAAGCCCGGCTTTGTAAGACTCACTTGCATCATTCACAAGAAGATCACACGATGTTATACAAGGTGCCATAGCTGAAATCCAAATGGTACCTGTAATTAAATGAACAATGATAGGGCAAAGTAAATAATTGTCTTAACTGTGGCCAATCAGGTCCTGCAAAAAGTGCTCCAGAACGTTTGTAGGCTCACACTTGGTTCGATAAAATGGTTGGACTAATGATGCAATTTCAGGAACCTTTAAAGTAGTGCTACACAAAAGTTGATGAATGCTCCCGAGAAAGAATATACATAATTCTGGTGTTCAAATAACTGGCCAGGTGGATCAGCAGTAGAGTGAGCGGTTCGTAAATTGGAAGATTGAGAATTCAAATCACGTTTGAGGGTCCACTCAGCCCATCATCCGTCCAGTCAATACATGTGTTATGATGAACTTCTTTTGCACCGTACGGAGCCAACCGTGCTAAGCCATAGAACATCACATTGCTGGAGGTACCAGAACTTTACCGAAAGAAGAATGTTTTTCATTTATGAGAATTTCTAATTCAGTATAAATACATATTATTTATTGTAGCATTCAAACCTCGGCACCCTAAACAGATATCCAAGTACATCCAAAGGAACACTGCGCACCACACTACAACAAAGCCAAAATCATGAAAAAAAACCCATTATTGAATTGAAGTGTTCCTAGGGTTGAAGAAACACAAGCGATCCCACTGTGAGAATAACCTTCCCACTTCTCACTTTGCCCAACTGCAAGGATCATGTGCACCACGTGTTAGTAAACAAGCCTCAAGGCACAGGGATTCTCGTCACGTTGCACCGTCCATGAGATATCTCAAAGTGAGCACGGCAACACATTTTCGCGCACACACATGAGACCCAACCATTCCAATCCTCAGATCCCTAAACTGGCCCCAGATCCAGTGCTAGATCAATTATAAGATCATCCTCAATGTTGTCCTCAAGATCTTCTATGGACTCCTCCCTGCATACCACCCCCCCCTGTCATTCTACTCTGCTCCCCCTTCATGTGTTCAACACCCCAGCAATTAAGGTTCTCTCCAAAAATCCTTTGCTCAATGAGTCGCTCCTTTTCTGCTGTTGGCCACGGGCGTTGCCACACTATGAAAGTTGGGGCATGTCCTATGAGGAAACAGACCCTAGTAATTATTGGTTAGATAGCTGATACAATCCACAGACTTCTCTATTCAAACGATGGGAGGGCACTTTGCGGAGAAGTCAGATGTTCAACTTCGGTTGGTCATACAAGGTTTGCACCAACTTCACTGCCCGACACAAAGACGTCCCTACGGGCCACTAAGCATTCTCAAAGCAGTCTGCAAATTACAGATGCCAAGCATTTGGGAATCTCGTCCTACTGTCTCCAGACTCTCCCCCCCGCTGATAGAGCCACACTGTGGATTGCTCCACCCAAGCACTTTGTTGCCGTTGCCACCTTTGGTACAGTGTCAGCCTACGAGGGGTGACAAGGCCACGGATATCCTGTGCCGCTGTTACAACCCATCCTGCTGTTCTCTGGCCAGCTGCTCCCGGGTATGCGGACGGGCAGCTTGCCGCGCAGGTACGAGGCCGCCGCCAGTACGGCGCTGCGGTTCTGGCGGCAGTCGTAGAGGCCGTGGTGCTCGAAGAAGAAGCAGTCGAGGATGAGTTGGAAGCCGGGGCTACGGTCTCCGCTCTCGCTGCTGCCATGGCACGACAGGTGCAGGCTGCTTCTGGGGTCCGTGTGGTTGGGGTTTGGCGTGTGGTGCATCACCACGAGGACGGGTAGCTCACCTGCACAGCCAGGGAGACAGCGCCGAGCATCGCCAGCATCAGTATAATGAGCGGGGATGGGGGAAGAGGCGGCCACGCCTACTGTTCACCAAGTCATGTCGCAGGGGACGAATGATTTGTGATCTCTTCTGCCTGGGAGTTTTATGTAAATATAGTAAGGTGTGCTAATGAAGACATGTGCAATGTTACGTATGATTGCACCAATGTTCTCGCCTGTGTAAATATAGGGGCAGCATAGGCAGTTGTTGGCATGCGTGCTGCATGATGACCGTGGCAACTCGAGTTAGATTCTCACCCATGGTCAACTCCAGTAGCGAGTAACACCTGAACCAATCCTGAGTACTCACCTACACTACCCCGCACTGACCAATGTAGTGAAATATGATCGAATGAACGCCCATAACCTGAGAGGACATGGGGAGGCCTTCCTCCAGCAGTGGATTGACAAAGGGATATAAATTATTATTTTTCGGTATGTAGAACTAACAAGGAACTTCTAGATTGGGTTCAGGAGAAACGTGCAATTATAATAAATGATGGAAAGCAGAGGATCTGGATGGGACATACTGTGAGAGGGGATGGCTTGCTGAAGGATGCTCAAGGAGTAAGAAAACTGGGCAAAGGTCAAGAGGTAGAAAGGAAGGTGGTACTTTAAGAGAGGGCAGTCATGTGAGAAAACCAAGAGAAAAGTGCATGCTCTGACAGGAAGGAGCAACTCGATCCTACACTCAGGCAGATAACTCATGAGAGAAAGAGTTAAACATAGGCTACATCACAAGTGAAGTAAACATAATAAATATTATTTTAAGCTTCCTATTTCAGATTTGGACTCTGACAATAGCAAGCCTTGGTCTACTTTTGTAAATAATGCAAAAGAATCTTAAGCATACATATTACAGCAGGCAGCTGTAATAACAGCATCACTACGAAGCCAGTGCACAGTGGCTTTGTCGGCAGGTCGCAGACCACTTGCCAACAATTAAAATCCAAATTCAGCTCTGATCCAAGCATGCTTTACAGGTCATGAGCACCGATTATATTCCATGGTGTACCACATGTTGCTTCCATGCTGGGACTAAGATGGGCACCCTAATCAAACTAATCCCATGGAATCTCAGACCTGGGTCCTCTGGTTACCTTCTGACATCACTCACTTTGTTCAGCTTCAGGGCCATGTTGGTGTGCCACACACGAATAGAATTAGAAAACAGATTTTAATTTACATAGTCAAACCTAATACTTGTCTACATTAAATATATGAACTTTCTTATTTTTTCAAGAAAGCTCCCATGATGGAGTGTAGAGACCCGGGCGAGCGTTTCTTGATCATTCCTGGGCAATTGAAGCCCCTTCTCCCAGCAAAAGTTAAAATAATACACAAACGATTCATGGGGATAAACGTAATCCTGAGTATCGCTTAAATTATGAATTGATTAAATTGATTAGCTGTTTAAAGTTAAGTGAATTTATTTTAAAATAATGGTACGTGGGGAATATGGCCTCTAGACTATGGCAAAATCACTGCTGTGCGTGCCACGCGTGACGCGGACACGGGCGATGATGGTGATTGCATCACGTTTTGAGCTTTCAAATTCACACAAATCGATTTACCGGTGAATGGAAGCAGTAATCTACAGAGTAATTGATTATTACAACATCAGATTACGACCAAGTGAGGCGAGCCGTAGGGAGCAAACTTGCTGCATGTACCTGGGCTGAGCTCACGGCGTGCCGGCTCCGTGTCGCTGGCAACGCGCGACGCGTTCACGCAGAACACGAAAAGCGGCAGTGCAGGGGAAGCGGCGGGAAACTGCGACGCGGCGTTGACCGGGAGGGCACAGGGTGACCGCTCAGCCGACGCGGGTTGGTACGTGGGCCTGAGGTCCAAGCCTTCCGACCTGAACGGCTCGGTGAGCCAGCTCAAGAAAATCTCCGCAGCCCCAAACATCTGCCCGTAACAGCGGTAGGGGAGTGGCACTGGAAGAGGCGGCTCTGTGCACATAGGAACAAGTCGTAAAGTCGTTCATGTGCTCATATCACAATTGTCATCATTGCCATGAGCATCATCTTCATCTTCAATTTAGTTTAGAGTTATCATTCTCAAAGCAATCGCTGAACTGTCAGTTTCAAAAATATATATTTTTGCGTCTCGTTTTTAGCATCAAATTTTTCTGAATTATTTCCCGGTTTTTATTTTGCTGAACGGAGTCGGCTGGGCCAAGTGCCGCCCACTTCTAATGTCAAGGGCACGGCTCTGGTCCATAAACAACACGGGGTAACACCGTGTACAGCAGACACTTAAAGGAAAGGAGGCAGATTCAAAAGAACATGTTATCCATTCTTTGACAACCTATTTAATCCCCCCACCCGCCCCCAAATCGTTCGGGACCCCTGAGCCCAACGCCCCTGAGGCATCCATCTTGTTAATTGTATGAGATCCCCCTCAACTAACATGCGCAGCTCGTTACTCTATCAAATGTCAGCCGCTCCGTCAGAAAAGGGCAGTGTAGTGAAAACCACTTTTGTACTGTACTATGCTCCAACGTACATGCATCCCGCCTTCACAAACCAGCACTAACAAAAAAATTAAAGTATGGTTAAATAACCTTCAACCCGCATGGCATGGGGAGGCCCTCATCCAGCAGTGGATAAAAAAAGAGGTATAATTGTACAAATAGTCTTGTTTTACCAAGGTCTCTCTTTAAAAAATAGAGACTTAAATTGGTCAAAGTGGGCTCTCAGCTAACTACAAATAAAGCACATGTAGACGAGTGTCGGCGTAATAAATTATAAATCTAAAGCTTCTTCTGATTCCTCGACCATCTTTAAATTATTTCTGCCCTTAAAAAGGCACCTCCTCCTTTGAAAAGTGGCTACTCCACAAGTCCATCATAGTATTGATGACCCGCATTGTATTTGAGATTTGAGTCCCAGGTGTTTGCCAACATCTTGGCCATGATTGTTTCAAATGCCTCTGCCATGTGTTTGGGAAATGCTGGATGTGCAGAATCAAGCCAACGAATCAACCGTCACTGTGACTTCTTATTCCAGTCACAACTTAAACAATTACCATGAGCTTTGAGGAGTCTTTTCATTTGAGCGATGTCATTTCTTAAAATGTTTCTTCAAACTCTGAACCAGGCAAATTATCTTCAATTAACGACACTGGGCGTTCCACCTGAAGATGCTGACTGGAGGCAAAGACTCAAGCTCACAGTCCTCATGAAGCCCTCTCAACTGTACGAGTAGAGATATCCACAAGGCAAGAGACTCGAGCCCACAGCCCTCATAGAACCTGCTCACCTGATGTAGGCAGGGATACTCTCTGCAGGCGAGCCACCTCGTTCCGAAGCTCTCTATTTTCCTTCGTGAGCAGCTCAATCACATGATGCTGACACTTCAACATGCACAGAAACTTCTCTCCGGCCACCAATGTGTCCTCTTCCTGCCAGGCAAGTGAAAATGGCACATTGTTAAAAATAAGCAAAGCCATAGACAAATTAATTGATTTTGGCCCATCCTTTGATTACCTGGTCGTCTATAGAATAAGTCTTTTATAGCAACACTACTTTTATTAACTTAATATTATTTACAGAAAATCATCTTTTTGAGAGCTATTGTTTCCCCCACGCCTCAGGATAGCCAGATGGATGGACAGCGGTTATTCATTAACACTTACACCCAAAGTTGGTAAGTGTTAAAACATGAGATATAAAAACAAGCTGGTAGTAAACGAGACAAAACGAGAATCGATTCTTGAATCTAACGATGACCCCAAATCCTGGCAGTTCATTGTAGTGGGAAAATCACACCCCTAAGTATAAATGAACAAACCTGGTCATCAAATATACTTCATAATGACTGAGGTTACCCTGGCTGCGACAGGCCTGGACATTTCCTCTAAGTCTCTAACATACACTGTCAGGGTTATGGCTAAGTGCATGCGGCTGTATTAACTGTAATAATACTACACATACTCTGCTTCACAGTGAACTTTCAAGATCCCATGACATAATTGGCAAGAGTAGGTCATTATTTGCCGGTGTCATAGTCCCAAATTGTTACATTTGAAAAGTTAACCACAAGCGTAGAAGTCATCTCCCCCTCCTGCAAAAAAACATGTTCGGAGACTCAGGCTCTCTTGAGTAAACAGGCATAATAGTTATCATACTGGAGTACAGCAAAAAAAACAACATCATGAAAAACGAAATACATTTTCAAATTTATAGTAAACTGATATCGTAATAATCACATCGTGAAATATGACATCGTTCCATGAAAAATGATATCGCAACAACCCTACGAGCAATCCACCACTGTGTTCAATCTCATCCGTGTGGACGTGAAGCAATCTAGGCTGTGTATATGTGCCTGGCTGTCCCACATCACCTTTTATAAAAATCTCGTTTCCACCGTCTAAATTGTATTGTCAATTCCTTCTGCAACCATACACTCGTGTTCACTCCATTCACCTGTGACACCGCAATGCTATGTATCAGTGAAGCAACACCTAATTTTACACAGGCGATTGAAAGCGTATTCTGAGCTGTTAGAACGAATATTACTCTATGAATAACTTTATCTTGTATATCTAAATTAGCTCGAGCCCAGCTCTGAATGCCTCGCCTCTCCCAACCGCCCCCCCCTGTGAAAACAGATGCTGCTCCTCCGTAGAACTCACTTCTTGCTGCTATCCTTCCTCTCTTTTCTCACCTCTCATCACGCTCTGATCCCTGACATAATGTCCCCGTTCCATCTCTACCTACACCTCTTTCTGCTGCTCATCTTGAGCCGTTGCCCTCTTTGTCTGTTTTGGGACTTCCGTACCGGAATCCCTTCCTTTCTTTTTCTCATAGATTAGAATATTACATTTCAACTTATAACGTGCACAGTATACTCTCACTCTCATAAAGAGAGAATGACTCTGAGGCATGAGGAACCACAGACAAGCAGGAAAGTAGCTACGCGGTGAGCCTGCGCTACCAACAATTGCGGTCCTCTACACAGCATATGAAGGTGTTAGCGGCCAATTAATGAGTGTTTACATGTGGGAGGAAACCGTAGCATCTGCAGAGAACACAAATGTGCTCAGGGGAAACACTCAATCCCATACAAGACAGAACAGGCGGAGTCCACATTTGTTTTCCTCCTCGACGGCCACGAGAAGGGAGTTTCACAATCATGTTTGCGATCTACCAACCCTCACTGCCTCGACTGTGCTGGATTACAGGCCACGCGCATGGCCACCACTGCCCGGCTATAAAATATCCGTGACTCTACTGTCTCTCTCCGTGGTGTGCATTGGGCAGGCTCGGACTGGCCGTAGGGCAGTCCGGGAAAATGTCCGGTAGTCCAGTCCATTCCGACAGTCAGTGTGCCGGTCTGTATGGGGAAATTGCAAATGTGATCAGAGTAAAAAAATATATTTATCTAACTAAAATAATGCATTACCTCTAATATGTACGCTTCATTGCTTATTTACGCTCTTAGTTGGCATTAAGTCCCATATTCGGCAGCCCCAAAGATTATTCCTCAATGGCCCATTCGTTTTTTGGACCCAGCCCAAATGAACCAAAGAGATCCCACTTAATTTAGACGGGTGTGTTTAGATATGCCTGGGCCGATTTTTTGTCCCAGTCGATCACTGGCTACGGGATAAAAGGTTTCTTCTCTTCTACTCCTTGCATTCATCGCTAGAACATGAAGCGTTCTTCCCCACCCCCGGCACGAACACGAGGTGGTCAAATTGAAAGCAGAAGCAAGCCCACATATCACGGCGTCACTCCACCACCAAGCAGCAGGCTCAGCGCACACAACAACCGCCGTTCGCCGCTAAGTGTTGGTGACGTCACCACGGCACTTGTGCCAGGCTAGGTACACTTCGAGGCCACGTGAAGTGTCGAAGGCTCGCTGGCAGGAGGTCACGTGGCAGACCCAGGTACCACGGGTCGACTGAGATGACTGACAGATTCACCAACTGTACTCCCCACACAGCCACTGCTGTACTGTTACACTTCTCGCTGAGCAGAAACTACCAGTCCAACTATAGGATCGATATCTTCAATAGAGGAGTCCTTGTCTATACTGTAACGTCTGACAGTTCACCGGCATTGATTCAAGCAAGCCTGACTTATGCTGCTGCTGATGAGACGGACTGTCCAAACCGGTCCGGAGTTTTGCTAGTGCTGATGGGCTTATGTAATGATTTATTTTTGGTTATGACTGATATTTGAAGGAGACAAAACGTATTTATTGTTATTTATATTTTTAACAATTATTTCGTAAAATGCCCTTTATTCACATCTAACCACCAGCTCGCAGCTTGGCTGGTTGGGAAGTTTCTCAACTCTCGGCGTGATTCACCAACCCTTGCCTCCAAAGGCGACTGGTGTCACGGCTCCCCATTCTTGCATGCGGCAAGTTGTTCAGAAGCTAAATGGCAATATCGAGGCCTGCTAGCTACGGGAGTGCTTCAGGAGGAGCGCAGACTCGTGGTTTAATTACACGGCCCATAGTTCGGGTTGCATGGCCACAACCGCCTAACCGGGGCATGTCCGTCTTTATTTTCCCCATTTATAATATAATTAGCATGTTTGGCTACGTACGGCGCGAAAGAAGTTTTTAAATATGTAATTACGGAATGCTTTGATGGTGTCTGCCTTCCCAGTCGCCATTGAAAAGAGCTTCTCGGCTCAATGGGGCATTTTGCTCGGGAAATAAACTTCCAATTTCGACGTTCTGCTGCGTTTGAGGGTTAACCCCCCGACAGTGTCTTCAAGAGGGGGGTGGGGGACGTCAAAGCCAGCGCCGTTGTGGGTCTCGAATTCGGTGTTTATTCCGGAATAACCCAAACACCAGGTGGGAATAGGGGCATCCCGTGCCAGATGCGCGAACCGAACGACCCATGCATCGAACCCAGCAAAATCTCTCGCTGGCGAGGGAAGAGCCCTCCGGACAGCCCCAAAAACCTCTAATGACCCCGTGTCTTCTCCCTCTCACCACCCCCTTGCGGGTCCGCCTCGCTCACCTTCAACTGCAGCAGCAGCCGCTGCAGCTCGGGGTTCTCGCCCGACGCCGCCATCCGCGTTGCGTGCGCGGCGACTCTTCCGGGGTGGCGACTCGTCCGGGAATGGGGCGGGTGCCTGCAACTGGCCCACGGCCACAACGTCGACTTCCGCGTGACTTTTGGGTGGGAGTTAAAGCGCACGGAGCCTGGCCACGAACCCCGGCGGTAAACGCGGGTTCGGATGCCACTCACGTTCCGAACGCCGGTGACGATTATGTGAACCAGTCCCGGTGCCTCCCCATCGGTGGGTGTGTTAAAAGCTAAAAACATCGCAAGACTCGAGAGAGACAGCGGGCTGGGACCTGGTTACTGACCGTCCCCTCGTGTGCCGTGCCGACCTTCATACGCGCTGCAAGAGCATCTGTGCACGTGGGAGTCGATGGGCGCGGTGTCACAGTGTGTGTCTCTGTCATCAGTTCTCTCGCCATGCCCTCCCCCCCCAGGGTCGATTCTCACAAGAATTGTTGCAACGATTCACAAGGAATCGAAGTCGAGTATGATGCAAATCGCTAACGTTTGCGTTATGAATTCAATGCAAGTGTAGTTTAACACGTGTAGGGGCTTTCGCGACCAATATCAATCATCCATAATGCAGGTTTTTTAAAATAAATGTGTCGTTAAACTCGCCACCACCTGACAATGAGTATGGGGCCGTCCATAAATGACGTCACGCGATTTTGGACGATTTATATACACCCCCCCCCTCGTCACACGGCGTCACAAAAAGTCAGACCCCCCCCCTCAAATATGACGTCACAAAGCTCTGCCCCCCCCCCCTAAAAAAATAAAACATGCTTCAAATCGCTTTAAACTATTGTCATTGTAGTGCGTATTTAATGTGCCGCTGCACTCTGATGCTTATAGCAGAAGACATTCATTAAAAAGTATATGTAATTAAGTAGAACGTGTTGTCTATATTTATTTAAAGTTTCGCATTTTTTATGTGACGTCACATTTATCACCCCCCTCGTCACACATCGTCACAAATGTCTGACCCCCACCCCCCCCCCGGTGCGTGACGTCATTTATGGACGGCCCCTAAGGTTTGTCACGTAAACAGAACGTGTCAATTCGTTACTAGTACAGCAACACCGGTGTGTTGGAGAGCAATGCCACAACGTTTACGATCTGAGTACGACGTTTTCGCCAGTAATTACAACTAGCACCATCTGATGGGATATGCAAGTGTCTAAAAAATGGACACAAACTCCACCCCTCCCTCCTCCATGTCCCAGCCTGGAAAGCCCCTGGGGCAGGTAGCCAAGCGAAGTGAAACTCCCCGCCCCACTCGCACCTCCCCGCCTCACTGGGCGAGAGACGCTCACTCAGCGTTGATGAGCTGGTGAGGAGGAAGAGGACGAGGCGAGGGTAGAAGCGGAGAGCGAGCCAGAGCTCAGGAGAGAGTCGCCCGCACTGAGTTCATCGCTGCGTCACCTGCAGAGGTCAGGACAGGAGCAGCAGGAGCCGCCGCTGCTGCTGCTGAGAGCGGTGAGAGAGCTCAGAGTGGTTGCAGGTCGGGGTTGACCGAATCGTCAAACCCGGTGGCCCGGTTGTGAGCTGTGTGCTTTTAGGGTGGGGGGGGGGGGGCTGCTGTTTGTCTGACAGTACCTGTTGGACCATAGTTTAATGAATTCCGTGTTCATTTGGCACAGCCTCTTGTCACAGTACAGGTAAAAGCCACAGTTCACCATTTGTCAGAGTTTAAGCTCATGTTATTATCGATGACAAATATTGATGACAAGTCATGTGAGTACGTCGTTGAAATAGAAAGAAGTTACATTGGCACTATTAACATTCCAATTATGGCTGTGCCTTATACTGGTAGGAACCCAGTGGTTCCACCAGCCCACAGGGGATTATTGTGTCCGTCCGTCGTGCAGGGAGGGGCTGGGTGGGGAGGGAGGGGCTGCGTGGGGGGGGGGAGGGTGGGGAGGGGCTGGGTGGGGAGGGAGGGGCTGGGTGGGGAGGGGAGGGTGGGGAGGGGCTGGGGGGAGAGGGTGGGGATGGGCTGGGTGGGGGGTGGGGCTGGGTGGGGAGGGGCTGGTCACCCCTTGGTGCCCTTATAAAACTCAACGTTTAACCTACTCACGCCGGCTTGTGCTCGTCCTCACAGTCAAGCATATTTTCGGAATACACCACGCCGCCGTTGACCCTGGCCATTGACCAAGCAACCCGACGTTCCTACCAGCTCCCTCTGCAGGAATGTGTTGCTCTCCCACAACTGTGCCACCCCCTGCGTCGCTGGAGTTCTGTCTCCCTCACTGAGTTCTGTCTGTTCCCACAGCTCTGTGGAGGAAGGACCGAATCCCCACCCCCGACAACGCGAGCTGAGCACGCAGAAAGCCATGGCCGCAGGTTTTTGTGCAGGAACACTAACGCAGGGTCACCTGGCTGAGCCTCCTCAACACATCCCCATGCCTTCACTCTTGCCTCTACGCACAGCATGTGTGAACATATAGCGTGTTCATGCACGGGCCTGCATTTTATTAAAAACGTGTTTTTTATTTTATTTTACCAGGTAGAAGCGACCTGGCCACAAATGATAGCCCATTAAAGTGGCTTATCACGTGGAAATTTATAGCAGCCAAATACTCTAAACACATGTTTATAAATGTGGAGGGCAAAACCGGAAGACCCGGAGAAAAATCCACGCGACCACGGGGAGAACATGCAAACTCCAAATATACAGGCGTCAGGGTCGGACTCAAACCCACAACCGCCTGTATACCAGGCGAGGTAGTTAACATCTCGCCACCATGGCGCCATTCATACATGGCCTGAGCACAAAGCCCTGAACATGAGCACAAAGCCCTGAACATGACCTCCACACACGGACCTGTTCATGCATGGCCTGTGTGTTTTCACAGCCCTGTGAACACAGATAGCCCAATGATCTAAACCTCTATGTAGACATGGCATCCTGTACAAGTAGCCATGAATTCATCGTATGAATCACATCACATTATTCTGACATCACATGTAAAACATATACAGGTATCCCTCGATTCGTTCTTTAAAAAAATACACGTGTTAAACGACACATTCATTCAGAATGGCTTTTCCCATAAATTTAATTAAAAAAATAGGGATGTCTTTCAGTCATTGCATCTCTACTGCTAACCTAAAAATATACACCTATATCCCTTTTCACAATACAAAATTAATAATGAACATAAATATAAAAACTAATGAATAATAATGAATTAAAAACAAAAATTATTTACTTTTTCAGGGAACTGACCGTAATATATCCATGTTGGAATGCCTGGAAAGGTCCTCACATCTCACTCAGCACTGGGCACTCACAATCCGCCCGGCCACTCGCAGGGGCCTTTCGAGCAGTCCCATGCATCCCACTGTGGGTAGAGTTCTCTCTCCCTCCGTGCGGGGCACGCTGCTCGCAGGCTTGGGGGGTTGCGCTCACGCTGTTCTCCTGCGGCTCCCGTATCACGGCGCGACGCGGTGTGTGACGGTGTTGCCACCGGGAGCCATGGGGAGGATGTGGCCACTGCACATGGGGGTGCAAGCATATCTGTACCACGTATGGCCTGTGGAGGGCACTTAATGGTGACTCCAGTTCCTTTGCATGCTATCGCAAGTGTCGTGTTGAGCTCTCAGAGCCCTACCCTGAAAAACTCGAGCCTTGTAACTGGGGCCTGGCTGGGACCCTCATACCATTTGAGCAATGGGATTGGTAGTCAATGCTGTGGTAGCAGTACTGCATTGAAATTGGGTCCATAATTTTGAAACACCTTGTAGAATGCGACTGGAGTTGTAAAGTTGAGATCAAACCTTATTGGCAACAAGTTGTATTCCTGTTGAAAGACTCACATCTGCCATTAGAATGTGGAATTTCTACCGTGAGCTCAGGGTCCTAGTGGAGGTGAACGTTGTCCAAAACTCCATGAAAATAGGGGACTTTGAGGCAATGGACTCGAGTGCGACCCCAGTAATCTGGCTTGAGTTGACTTGAGTGCTTGCGCTGTTGCTGTGATAGACGAGAGATTCAAGAAGAAGTCGGAGCAGGTGCGGATTCTTCTGGACGACCTGAAGAAGCTCTCCAGGTGAGAGGAACAGTCTCCTCACCCGCAAATGGCTTGACTGCACCTTACATTTTATTCTAATTAATGCAACTGTAATAAAGCACTTCCACGACGACTTCTGACTGGCGTCTTTCTTTATTAACAATAACTGCACAGCTCTGCTCCTTCTCTTTCTCTCTCCGGATGACTCCTCTCTATTCTCTGCCGTGGCTTGAGTTGACTTGAGTGCTCTCTTTTTCACCGTCGCGGATCGCCCCTCTCTCGCTCCGTCCGGTCTCGCCGCTGGCTGGCGGCATACTGGGAGGAGAGGAGGCTTCGCTGGAGGAGTCCGCCACGTGGTCGGTGGCGAGTAGAGGTTGGCGGTGCTACAGTCTGGACTCGAGGCTTCCCACGCCGAACACGAGTCCTTTCCTGCTTCTCCTTATATTGCGCCCGGCGGAGATAAGCTCCGCCTCTAGCCACGCCCCCTCGTGGAACCTTCCCGATGGTTCCCGCACGTTCTCGCTAACTCCGCCGTCACCTTTGGCCCAGATGGAATCCCCACAGTAGCTGCCCATGCAGCTACTCCTTAGCATCCAGCAGATGGCGCTCTCTCATTACACAATCATTTTAGATTGATTCAGTGTGTATGCTGAGAACTGCCTCTTACATTTGAATGGCAAATTACGTTACGAGCGCAGAGTAGTGCCTGGTAAACTCTTGGTGAGAAGCAGGAGCCAGAAGTTAATCCAGAAGCAGCATGAGCTGGAGTCGCACAGTGCGGCACATTAACGGGTTGGGTGAGAAAGTGCATTGGGGAGGCTGCAACAATCAAGGCAGAGAAAGTGCAAAGGCCACTGTGGAGGATGTGGCAAGAGATGCAAGGAAGCTCTATAGACATCGGGAAGACAACGGGGTAACTCAGGTACACAGGTTAAGAAGCAGTGACTCCACTCGTAATGTGCAACGACAGGGAGAACAGTGGGAAAGATGGATAGACATAAGTACATGAAGAGAGACATGGGGAGAATGACAAGAAAGAAACAGGGATATGAGGAGAGATATGCAGAGTGACAAAGAGCTATGAGGAAAGACATGGACACAGAAGAGCATGCGAAGAGACACGGGGCCATGGGGAAGGTAGTGGGGCCAAGATTGATTCACAGAAATAATGTATAGAGAATCTAGAAAGAGATGATTCACATGGTGAATGGAGAGGAATGAGACGTGGTGATGTGGGGGGAGACAGAAATAGAGATGAGAACGTCAGGAAGATTGCAACTGTGGAAATCAGCTTTTTAAAAGACTACAGGACGCCTTCGCTGAGTTGAGCTGTGTAAGTGACAACTGTGTAACTCCTAAATATACATACTGGACATTTATGATCATATAACTTTGCAGTAGTTCATTGCTTAATTAAAATAGAGTGTATTTGTCTGAGTGGAGAAAGGTTTTAACCAATATAAAACCTTAACATGTAAGGTGGCAGATTTTATTGTTCATGAAAACACATTGAAACACAATTATATAAACATGAAATAATAAGCTACATACATATTGATGCTTTTTCTTAGATGAATAATGTGTATATTGGCATTCCGTTGTCTTTAAATAATGTCAGTTTAATCTTAAACTGCACCCCTTGTTTTTCCAGGTATGACAATTCAATCGTCCCAACCCTGCAGATGATTGATGGTATAAAAGATGCATACAACCGGGAGGAGCGGCAAGCGCTATCACGAACCTTCCACAAGGAGGGGGGTGTAGGTGAGTGCTGCCCTCACTGCATGTCACAACCATTGTAACAAAACGCCTGTGGATAATGTCCATCTTTCCATGTGAACGAACCCTTGACAATCGGACGTTGCCATTCACAATAATTAAAATCTCAACGTGTAATACATCACGCCTTCTCCTACCCCAGCCATGCAAGGGCGCTAATACAAAAAACACGGAGATTACACCAAAAGGTTGACTCATTTTTTTAAATAGTCTATTGTCCCCCCCCACCTCCAATCAGCACGGTTGGCTTTGTACGGTGCGAAAGAAGTTCAGCATACATACATAACGTTCCATACAGTATTCGCTCGCTCTCGAAGAGAAATAATTATTTGAGGCACGAGAATCCACAGACAAGTGGGGGTTGGTAGCCACTCGGTGAGCCGCTGTCAACGATTTACCAAGCTCTGCGGTCCGATAAATAATAACATATGTCCATATGCCTCCAGGTTACCTCAGTGGCACTGCTCATCATGCTTAAAATATTGAACGAACAAATTATGCAACAATTTTTTTTATTTTACCAGGTAAGGCCCACTGATCTATATAGTTATTTTTCAGAAGCGACCTTGCCACAAATGATAGCCCATTGAAGTGGCTTTTCACGTGGAAAATTATAGCAGCCAAGTACTCTAAACGCATGTTTATAAATGTGGAGGAAAAAAACGGAGGACCCGGAGAAAAATTCACGCAACCACGGGGACAACATGCAAACTCCAAATATACAGGCGTCAGGGTCGGGCTCGAACCCACAACCGCCTGTATACCAGACTAAGTAGTTAACATCTCACCACCGCTGCGCTATGCAGTCCCAGCAATTTGGCCTTCAGAAGCTCAAGATGTGAGAGCAATGGTGGTCATCGGGCCTCACTGAAGCTTTTCCGCTTCAAGGAGCAATAGCTCTCACCTAGCATTCAATTCTCAGCACCAATAACTGGGAGCTATTGTATATAGAAGGTGCAGGATTTGTAGCAGTTGTTTGCAAATAGATGCCTGTATTTTGTACAAGCAAAACATAGTGTATTTAAACTTTGTCCCAGAGCACAGAGGATGATGATGGTGGTTACTTAGGAGTATTGTTAAAGCTGTTGTTTTTTTGCCTCACCGGTAACCGCATGAAATAACTGCATACATGTAAACCGCAAAGGGTTCAAATTAGTGAGACCCCTACTGATAAACCTCAGGAAAAAACCCCACAAGAAACAGAGAGCAGAGTAACATTTAACTTTCAAGCATGCACGGGCATGTCTACATTTGGAGAAATGGTAGAGAGGGGATGATTACTAAATATGTGTATGTAGCAGCAATGGGCTAATGCCCCACCATCACTTCGTGAACATCCCCATATTGAATGCAATAATAATACTAACCTTGAATAGTAATAACTCTATTTGTTTTCCGCTTATGTCTCATTGAAAGGCTGTGAGAAAAGACAACATTTTTGGAGCTATCCCATACACAAGACTTGAACCAATGGGCAGCAGCTGCCAATGCACTGCAATAAATAAATATCTAGATCTGAGTTTATTATTTTCAGGTCAGCAACATAAATTAAATAAAATAACTGTGAGTCTCAATGATAATCCTTGAGACTTGACATGTATATGAATGGTAATAAACCACCTACTGTTTTGCCACACATAAACATGTTTCACAAATTAACATCACATTTTTATCTGTTTAACTGAGGAACAAAGGGGGGCTGCAATGGGGTAGTAATGGGTATCAGCAGCACATTTGAGTCGTGATCCAGAGATAGCCGGTTCGAATCCATCCTCTGGCACGGCAGTTGAAATAAAGGCGCAAGCTTCTTAGATAACTCCACCTGGCCACCGAGCAGTATAAATGGGCACCCCAAAGTCGATCGGCAGATGTTGCCATTGGGGCTATACACTTTTTAACTCTAGGTTGAAAACTCATTTCTTTAGAACTGCTTTTTGTGTTTAGTTTGTTGCCCTTGCCCCGCACCTCCGAATAACAAGGTTGGCAACGTACGGTGAAAAATAAGTTAACATGCATACATACATACATACAGATGTCTGGCCAGCATATAAGTGTAGGCCAAATGTCCTCTAGAGCTTCCTCCTGTGGAGGCCCTTCCACGAGCAGTGTTGTGAACAAAAAAGCAAGTAATTGTCGAGTTGCACCTTTACCTTTTAATTGAGAAATGAGGGAAAATGTACCACAGGGTCACTTATGTAGGCCGCTATGCCATTTGTATGTTCACACGAGCCAACCAGTGCATTTATTACTAACATTTGAATGGAAATGGTTGCTGGTTTCTGACTTTCAGAATCGGTGATCAATTCTGAAGATGGTCACCGGATTACCAGTTATCATTTATCAACCGTCCTCGAGAATAGAATCACAACCAGGGGAGTGAGACCCTGCTGAGATGAGCATATCCAAGCTTCTCACTGCTCCTGTTCCTATCTGCAGAATGGAATAAAATCCTAGAGGACACGTGATCCATGGGTGCTCATTGTTGTGGTTTCTGGACAAGTTTCACCATGATCTTCAAAAGACCAGTGAGGCAGCAGATAACCTTGCGGATGTCAGAGGTTTCATTTATTACAAAATAAAGGGAATATTGATAGATATGTCAAATCTGTTCATTGTTCAAACATGTACATGCAACTTCCCTCTTTAATATTGTACATAATACATAAATTAATACTATATCATGAAGTTTACATTTTATGTGATGAGTCATATTATCTCGCAGAGCTCTACATGAAAATTTTAACGAGCCTCTCCCCGGATGGCTCGAACATCCCGGACTCCCTACAGAGACCCATGGAGTGGAGTACAAGGAACGTACTGGCTTATGTTCAGATGTACTCCGATCCGAGTGAGTACCATACCCACACGGCTTGTGATGCATGCCAGCACTTTGGAGGCAAGGGTTGGTGGATCACAAAGAAATTTGTGAAACTACTTACCTGTGGGTGTTGAGGGCATGATCTCTTTACTTGCCAGTGTGCAGTAGTACAGCAAGTGGATTAATTTCGATCTGTGCAAGGATTGAGAATGTAACTCAAGAGTTGTAAAGTTGAGCTCAAACGTTATTGAGGGGTCGACTCTGTGGTTGCTAAATTGAGTACTGTGTTTTGGAAAATAAGTTATCTTATTGAGAGACTGTCCTCCTCTGCCAAAAGAATGCAGAATTTCCACCGTGAGCTCAGAGTTCCTCGTGAAGGGGACCACTGTCCCATTTGAAGCCGTATGGCTTGAGTCAATGGACTCAAGTCATCTGGCATGTGCAAACCCTTGCACATGTGGGTTTCCATCCAGGTACTCAAATTGTCTCCCACATTCATGAACACACGATCATAGACATGGTTAAAACATCCGAATATGCAGTAGGACCACAGAGCTTTGGCATTGGTTGGCGCCGGTTCTGGGGCCCTTCCCGCTTGTCTGTGGGTTTTCCCGCACCTCTGCGCATGTTATCATTTCTACAGATGTAATTTGCATGATGCTATGTAAAATACAAATATTCTTAACTGTAATTTTATTATGCTTGTGAATTTTGCCTTCTTATCCACTTGCATCAGTGGAGACCCCAGCAGGTTCCTGCATTATATTTTCAATGCCTGGAGATTGTGTTAAAATCGGTGTCGATGCCGACTACAAAATATCATACTTAACGTGTTGTTGGGTATGTTGTGTTAATAGATTACAGCTACTGAGTGTAAAGTAGTCTGACAATATTATATGTATACTATATTGATAGTCTTGTTTGTTAGTAATGCCTGGATAGTTGAGGCTCACACAGTTTACATGTAACATGTTCGTAAAGAAATGTCTAAGATCGCCGTCAGCGGAAAGGTTTCACGATTCTGCTTGTGTTTGACATGAGCCAAAGCTCACATGGTTTATACAATCTCACTGGGTCTGTGTCAGCCCATGTCTGCAGTGCTGCTCTAGAGTGGGTGATGCAGTAGACTACTGTAGCTCCTATGGTTTACAATTGTTAGGCTCTTAGCTCCTTTACCTGGTAGAGCGCACACCAAGTTAGTAATGGGCATTGTGTTAATAATAGACATACAGGGTGAGTACTGGACACAGGTTAAGTGATGGACACACTGAGTGAGTACTGGGCACACCGTACTGGGCACACATGTTGAGTACTGGACACACAGGGTGAGTACTGGACAAACAGGGTGACTGCTGGACACAGGTTGAGTACTGGGCGCACAGGTTGAGTGCTGGACACACAGGGTGAGCACTGGGTTGAGTGGAGGGATCTCTGAGTCTGGTTCTTCTCTGTCTGGTTACAGTGCAGGCCCTCGCGGACTGCGGGGGTATCAAGTACCTGTTGGGCTTGCTCAAGCATCACGCCTGCCAGGGCCTCATGCTTCGCTTCGTGAGTCTCCATGGGGGTTAGGGGTGAGGTGGTGGTAGTGTTAGTGGGGTTAGGGTCTGGTTGGGCTGTGGGGTTAGATTATCAGAATCTTTATTTATCTTAGAGAAATCTGATGAGCTATGAAACTATTTTTCACAGATGTCCTGTAGGGGTGGACATTGGGGAGGAGGGTGGGGTCTGAGTTAGTGGGGTGGAGGTGGGGTTCATAGGGTTGGGGTGGGGTTGTAGTAGGGTTGCGGTTAGTGGAGATTGGTTAATGGGGTTCGGTAAGGGTGGGGTGGGGGTGGTTTGGGGGTGTGGTGGGGCCCTGTGCATGGCTGCTGGATGCTGCTGGACTCTGCTGGGGTCAAGACTGGCACTGAGCAGCGATTTCAGTCCATTTCAAATGTATTCAACTCTACAAATCATCCCATTTCCTCATAACACTCCCTCTATTCCTCTCAAACTCCTACTTAGATGAGTTAGAGGTAGCAATAAGGAGGATTGGGGGCTCGTTTTACGATTTAATATTCGGCATCGATTACACAAACATATAAAATTAAGCTTTCAAATGTAGCCGATGCACTCTGTCTGGACTCATTTCAGGAATCCAAAAACACACTGAGGTACGCGGTTTCAATTCTCGCGAACCTGACCATGGAGCCAGAGCTGAAGTCATGCTTCCATCAGGAGAGGGCGGTAGACGTGCTGGCCTGCTACCTGGACGTGCCCGATGCTCCCTGCAAACTCTCCGCGCTACACAACCTGGCCAGGGTCGCCACTGAGCAGGACCTGGACATTATCTGCAATGCACAGGGTGAGGAGAGGTAGGCACCAGGCCCAGACTGGCCATAGGGCAATCCTGGCAAATGCCTGGTGGGCCGGTCAATTCCGAGGGCTGGTGGGGGCTGGTCTTTGTGGGGAAATTGCAAATGTGATCAGAGGATTAAAAAAAAAACTTAATGCCTCTAATGTGTATGCTTCATTGCTTAGTTATGCTCTCAGTTGGCATTAAGTCCCATATTTGGCAGCCCCAAAGATTCTTCCTCACTAGCCCATTTGTTTTTTGAACCACCCCAAAAGAGCCAATGAGATCGCACAAAAAAATCACATTAATATGTCACATTGCAAATCTGGCTAGTATACAGTTTGTCACACAAGCCATAAAAAAATGCCCAAAGCCCGAATTTTGGCCGGTGTATTTACAAATGCCTGGGCCGATTTTTAGCCTCAGCCCGTCACTGGCAGGCACAAAGAGTACGTTGCCCAGTTTCCCTGCAGAAGCTGGGCGACATACTCTTTGATTGCCTCTTTCTATAAAAGGGACTCGGTTGAAATGTATACATTTTACATTGAAAGTCATGCAGCCCCATCAATGCAGACCCATTTCTGGTTCATTCGTGTATCTTCATCGATCATAATTGGGGGAAGAATTCAGAAGAGGCTGCATTACCAAGCAGTCCTCGATTTCCCTCCAAACCGAAAGAACCAAATAATCATTTACTGCAGTCACGAAAGTTCTAAAATTAAGATTGTGGGGAACCTTTTTTCTGCCAAGGGCCATTTGGATATTTATAACATCATTCGCGGGCCATACAAAATTATCAACTTAAAAATCAGCCTGTTATACTTGGTCAAACATTTAATTAACTCACCCCTAATGTGATGGCTGGAACTGCTTCTCTTTGGTGAGGCGTGTGATGTTAGCTGGTATTGATAATGTTGCTACTCGCAACTGCTTTTACAGGTTTGCGCCTAGATTGATTGAATTTAGAGTCCTGCCTACGGTTGCCTTGGCAGGGCCAGACCAAATTATTTTGCGGGCCTTATACGGCCCGCGGGCAGGATGTTCCCCACCCCTGCTCTAATGCAACTCAAGTCTGAACATGAATTCACATGTAAAGGCACTGCTGAGTTTAGTCTAATGTCACCATGATAATAGATAATAGAGTGCCGGATCACAAATACTGCAGTTGCAATTGCTTCAGCATAAATATATGTGTATTTGTGTATGTTTGAACTACGTGTGCTGCTACAAGTTCTGCGAGCACCCTCTGTGTGTGCTGTGGGTCCTGTCTGTGTGTGATACGTGTGCGCCACTCATGTACCAACACCAGTGACGATTATATATCTGAACCAGTCCTGGACCTCCCTTAGGTCGACTCAACCTGAAATTACTACCTGGTGCGGGGTGTAAACATTGCCACTCGGGAGACAAAGGCAAACAGGCATGTACCGTGCCGGCCTTCGTAGGCGCTCGCTAACAGCACTTGCCCCAGAAATCTGTTTCGGTTATACAGTGGATTTTTGTCTATGTGTGAGTGGTGACTGTGTGGACTGTTACTGCTGTAGGAGCCATCTCGCTGCTGACGGACATGGTGAACCGACCCTCACATAAGAACTTTACGGCGCTTGAGAACATTGTGTATCCGGCTGTAGAGCTAGTGAAGATTCTCACCTTGATCTCCATCACGGCTGGAATACGCAGGAAGGTAAGGCCTTGTGCTTCGTTCCGCTGACTCCTGCCCAGGCAATATCGGTCAGTTCCTTATTCAGATGAAGCCCATTGAGCAAACATTGATTTTTTACAAATAGAGAGCTGAGGGAAGATAAAATGTACAGGATTTGAAAATTGGAAGATGCAATGTTCTGTATAAGGGTACAAGGATTCAGGGGAAAATATAAATTGTGACAGATTAACAGCAAATGGTATTATATTTAAATACTATATTCATTCATCATGCATAGTCAGCAAAGGACCATTGCGCCAAATGCATGACCTCTTGCGAGAGCATTCGCATACACTGCTCTTGCTGCCATACCAGTGTCTCGAGTAATTTATTTGAGTCACGCATTGTGGTTGGGGCGACCACGGGGGTGGTGCCATTCCTTAGAGGGTCGCAGTCCACTTCGAACGTCAATCGCCAACTCAAGTGCGCAATTTGCTGGAGTTTGCGCATCGAAACGGGCCACGTGTCCAAAAGTGACAGCCGTCTCCCTCGAACTAACTCTCAATCGCTAGGAGACCGGTCGCAGATGCATAGGTGACATTCCCGATGAAGTCCAACCATCGGATGCCAAGAAGGTGTCTTTGGCATCGTATGTGGAAGGACTGCAGCTGATCCAAATCAGCTTGAAGCAATGTCCAGGCCTCTGTACCGTACAACAAAACTGACAAAACACAGCACTGGTAGATTCTCAATTTGGTGTCCAGACTTAAACGTTTCTGGGACCAATGCGGTTCACAGCTTCATGCACTTAATAATATTACCTGTTCAGCTGATTGATACGTGGATTTAAATAAAGTAATTATGTATTTCTAAGTATTGTTACTACAATTGTTTAACATCATTTTCAAGTGCAAATACAGCATAATATGATTGAGAGGAAGAGGATGACTAGTCCCTGCTCACACCACACTCGGATCTCTCCAGGTAGAGAGGGGGAAGATGACTCGTCCCTGTTTTTCCCTCAGATGTTGAAGCCGGGAGCCGAGTTGGAGGAAGAGGCGCTGCAGGAAATCCTCCCCGAGGTGAGACGACTCCCAGGGCTCCCTTAGTTCCACCAGTCGGGCATCAGCAGTCATTAGTGGAGTAATGTGTAATTACGATTTATTTACAAATGAAGCAGATGAAAGTATGGAAGAGATTTTAGAGGAACTTTCGAGTGCAAATAATCCAGCAGCACTGGCAATAAATATAAGTGGTGACATAAATGTACGTATTTTAATTCAGTCTTGATTAATCGGGGCTCGTGATTAACATTCTTTGTATTATCAATTAGAACTGATGATGCATCTATTAGCCTAAAGGCATGGTAAGTGCGACACTTGGTCATAGAATTACGTGGCCTAACACGAAAAAAATATTATTAATCATGTCCTGTGTCTCTAAATCTCAACTCTGGTACTCTCTCTCTCTCTCATGTGAGTGCAGCTGAGAGAGAAACTGAAAGTCGAGGCTGAGAAACGTGGTGAGGAATCCTACATAGTCTGTGTGTGTCTCTTGCAATCAGGCATTGTCACACAACTATCAGAGAGCACTCAGTGTGTATCACTTACAATCGGGAATAGTTTTTTTTTTCCTTTTTTTATTCTATGGTTCTTTCGGTAAAGTCACGTAGATAGAAAAATTATAATAACAATAAAATAATACAAATAATAAAGTGAATAAAAATTATAAACATATTTTTCTTTTTTTATTGTTATTATATTTTTTCTATCTATGTGACTTTACCAAAAGAACCAAATAATATGAATTCCTGCAGTCACGAAAGTTTTAAGTCAAAATGTTTTCCTTGTGTTTAGTTTGTTGTCCTTTCCCCGTACCTATGACTAGCTCAGTTGGCTGCGTACGGTGCGAAATAAGTTCTAGATACATTGGCACACAACTATCACAGAGCACTTGGCGTGTAACACTTACAATCAAGCATTACCACGCAACTTTTTACGGGTTACTAAGTGCTGGTTTACCTGAAGTAGCAACGCTTATATTCCATCTGTCACAGCTAATGTGTCGTGAGTGTTTCACAGTCCAGTGTAGTGAGTCTCTTATAGTGAGTGCAATACGTATCTCACTGTGAGCAGGGATTTCTGACGCATGCAGTTAGCGCACTCCTCAACTAACCTGACCACCCACGCTCATGACCACCGGTTCTGTGCCTCCCCAAGGTTGACTCGATCATATAGGAGTACCTAGTACAGTCTGTAATGGACAGCAGCACAGGGGAGACAAACGTGGTTGTGCATGGTGCTCATCACACTAGCCTCTTGTGGGCCATGCCAGCCTCCAGAGGTGCACGCGAACAACACTTTCCCAACAGTCTGTAAAGTTATTTATGGGTATCTTTGTCATGTGGTGTTTCACAGTGTGAACGTTATGCCTCACAGTGAGTGAGTGTTTCACAGTGTGTGTGAGAGAGAGTTCAGTGAGTGTCTCACAGTGAGTGAGTGGCGCTCTCCCTGCTCATCCAGACCACACGCTCGAGTGGGGAGACACCGCTGTGAATCCCATTGTCACAGTGAGTGTCTCACATTGGGTGAGTGAGTGTAGGGAGTGTCAGTGAGGGAGTATGATTGAGTGAGTGGAACTGTGCCGTCTCACCCAGACTACACGCTCGAGTGGGGAGACATCGCCGTTCACCCCACGCGCCGATCCGTGCAGAAGTGGCCCAAGGCCAGGGATGGCCGAATTTATGTTCCCTACAAGGTGTCCCTCGCCTTCTGTGAGTGGCCTCCTCCTGTGTCTTGATCCCCCACTCACCCTCACTCTGTGCTCCCCCTGCCGGATCCCCCTACTCACCTTCACTCTGAGTGTCCCGCCTCAAGGGGTCTCTCTCAGCATACCGGCGTTTAATTCCGTTTTTAGGCATAGCTTTCTCACTGTGTGTTTTCAAATGTGACGTATTTTTTTCCCAAATTCAAACAAATATGCGTAAAGTCGTTGCGTGTTTCACGTATTTTTCCTCGGGAATTATGGTTCACCGGCTTCACACGTGTGGTGGTTAAAATGTACATCTTTAATTCCTTGTCATAACTTCCATTGCAAACATTATTATCAACGACCATGGTATTTCATTTATGCATACATATTTAGTGAATGCTGCTAAAATTTGTTCCAACAATTGATCCTGCTTCTTTGATCATGTCAATGGTTATAGCATTTTGTGTAGGAGCTTTTTCCATCTTCTTACTGCAAATATTCGATTTTCTTCAAGTGTGAGATTTGGAACCTACTCCTCTTCGTCTGAAATACATTCTGAATCATGGGCTATATGAGATTTGCATACACATGCAAGGGACACCAAGTGGTGAACTGCCCTGTGGTCCACCCTTGCTCATCCCTTGCTCACCAAATGGCTCTCACTAACTGTGCTGCTCTCACTGCCTGTCTTTGCTGCTATTCTACTGAATAAGGTCACCAGGCACAGTGTCTTGTTGCGTCTCCTGTAGATGACAGCGACGTCAAGAAGATTGAGGAGGCTGCGCTGGAGTTTGAGAAGAAAACGTGTCTCCGGTTCATCCTACGCTCTGGCGAGACCGACTACATCTATATCCATGCGTGGGATGGGTGAGACACGAATTCACGGACCGTACAGAGACACGGCCACGACAGAGACATTACTAATAGAGAGACACGGCCAATATAGTGACGCAGACACAACAAAGACACAGCCACTCCAGAGACAGAAACGTGGAGGGGAGTAGAAGCAGGGGATGGGGTCAGGGCGGGGTCACGGCTTGGGGTTCATGAGCTCCAGCAGCAGCTGGGGCCAGGGATGCTGAGACCATTAGGGTCCAGCACCACTGAGGTCCTATAGCATCGACAGGGTCCCAGTGAACCAGGCACATACAGCGTGAGTCAGCAGTAGCTCTTACAGTTCTATCCATCTGTCACGAGCATAATGATCAATTTGAATCAAATATTTGCTACATCTCTACGATTTTACTCGTGGGAAGGGGCCGTCTTAAGGAATCAGAACTGCTGTTGATTTGATGTAATTTATCCGAGTGCATTCCTAGGTTAAATATTGTTTTAAATGATATGTAAAAAAATTCAACAAAGAACAGATATTATAATAAATCATTTATGTTTGGGTCAGATTGCGAAAGTCAAATTTCTGTCATCATCATGCTGTAACTACCATAGTGAAGCTGTAACTACCAGCAAAACGTACCGAATTGTTAAATGATATTAATTGCTCTCCAACACACCAGAGCAGTGCGGAAGCAGTAATACATTGCCATGTTTGTTCACGTGACAACTGTAGTAATTGACTGTGTCGGCCGGACGAGTTATAACACACATTCAACTCTCTTTATCTGATCCAAAAATCAATAATGAGTTATAATATTGATTGTGAAAGCCTACGTGTTAAATTAAACATATGGATATGATGATACAGAAAATGAAGATTGGGTGGACTGGAAGCTCTAACACTATAGAGGGCTATTTAAGCAGAGGAGTTTGAATAGTCACATTCAAGGTGTTGTCTCTGTGTAATGAGTAATGAGTGAATGGGGCTCTGTGCTCAGGCTGGGGTTGTCTCTGCATGATGAGTGGTGAGTAAATGGGGCTTGGTGCTCAGGCTGGGGTTGTCTTTGTGTGATGAGTGGTGAGTGAATGGGGCTCTGTGCTCAGGCTGGGGTTGTCTCTGTGTGATGAGTCGTGAGTGAATGGGGCTCTGTGCTCAGGCTGGGGTTGTCTCTGTGTGATGAGTGGTGAGTGAATGGGGCTCCATGCTCAGGCTGGGGTTGTCTCTGTGTGATGAGTGGTGAGTGAATGGGGCTCCGTGCTCATGCAGGGGTTGTCTCTGCAGGAATTGGTCGTTCCTGGGCCGTCAGGGCGGGGACCAGGCGCTGTCCCTGGAGCCTGGGAAGGTGACCAAGGGCGTCGTTCTGCACGAGTTGATGCACGCGCTCGGCTTCCACCATGAGCACTGCCGCAGCGACCGCGACGACCACGTCTGGGTGCTGAGCCACAACATCGATCCAGGTGGGGTGCGGGGAGAGCTGATGGATGCACATCTGCAGCAGTTGGTGTCTGGACCTGATCTAAGCCTCCTCTGAGTAAATTGAACTCAATAAAGTATTTTCCACAATGTGCTGTCATCTCAACTGGAGAGACATAAGTCATAAGGAGTGAAGCTGATCCACCCCCTCAACATGTGCTGTATCTGCTATACTGTTTTTCATCATAGGCCCTTGTGTATACAGCTTACCATTCACGATCTAAAATCACTTATGTTTTTGTGCCTTTTTAATCTGATATTTTGTGTGTCCGGATACCTTAATATCTTTTTCATAACTGGATATAGCTTATATCTATGGGACTTTTTTGCCAGTATCAAAATGATGAAAAAATAAGAATAGGCTTTATCCTTCAGGCAATAAAACAGGTGTTAAGATGTTCAAACACAAAATAGATACCTATTGCATTGTCATTTAAACTAATTGGCCTACACGTTGCATATATTATAAGAACATAATTTGTTTGCATATTTTGCCACAAGTATGTGTGGTTAATGCAGACTCGATGCCTTACAATAGGTTTATGGTTGGTGTTTCAACATCTTAACATCTGTTTCCGTGCCAGAAAGGGTAAAACCTATTGTTATTTTTCATTCTTTCATACTGGCAAAAAAGGTTTCATGATATACTGCTCATCACACATTTTTTTGATCATTTGGATATAGCTTAAAAACATGAGCCATGTACAAAGGCTGCATCATCGCTCTGGCCCTTTTTCTGCCTTTGCCATCGCCTGGATTGTGTCAAGATGTTTGGGGGACAGAACTGTTCACAGACTTTGACAATGCCAATGATGCGGTCCCCTTTATGGAAAGCCCGATCGTGTTGACCTTTACATTAGCTAGCTTCGACCCAGTGGCCAGCACTACGGGTATCCAAAACGTTGGCTACAGTACCGCACTGTCTCCTGTTTCTGTGACTGGCCAGGCAGTTGAAGCCACAGATAAGTTCACATTGCTTGGGCCCCGACATCCATCGACGCAAATCATCTATAGTGGGACAGCTCGATAATTTGTGGCAGTGGAAGTGGTTGAGTCTCACCACAAAACTACGAAAGTACGACAAACTGCGTCGTGCTCGTCGTGCTCTTATGGGACCAAGACATGGAGGCTACGGAGGGCCAGTGCGTCAAGCTGAGAGGTGTCCCACATGTAATGGCTCAACTTCGTGACTAACGACGCAATGATAGCGAGTATCCTGCCGCAGAAACGTCAACCACGTGAACGTCGAGAGGCAGTTAAACTCTATTCGGCCATGTGAGATGGATGCGGAGAAGACCCTGTCCGCTAACGAGTCTCTACAGGCTAGTAAAGAGCATTCTTTCTTCGAGAATTTGCAATAACGAGCAATTTGAATTTAGACCCACTTTTTCCTGAAACAAGCAAAATGTTCACTTAGCGAGCTGAGACCGTGGCGGAACCGGGCGCACAACGGCCCACTGCTGTTTGTTTACCAGATTTCTTGTGCTGTGTTCCCACAACCTGGCCATGAATAATAGCTCAACGATGCGGTCCGAGACATGTCGTTTGGTTTCCCCAATATAACTGCTACCACAGAGGCACCTTAGTTTGTAGACGCCAGGGTACTGTATGTCTGGAACCACATCTTTTACAGATTCACCATGGAAGTCGAAAAAGATGGAGGTATCAGGGTCGGGATCAAACCCACGACCTCCTGTCTACCAGGCGAGGCAATTCATGTCACCACTGCGGTGCTCTGTACTCATACTAATGAGTGGGGGAGGGGGCCTCGTGGTGGCACTGTAATGGGTGGATGGTGGGAGGGGTGAGTGGCGGCGCTAATTAATTTCAGACTTTAATGAGGACAGGGAGTCGAGCTCTGTCTCGCATCCCCGTATCGTGACTATGAACCAAGCAACCCTGGTTTGATTCCCAGCCACTGCTAACACCAGTGGCGTGTGATATTTAAACCAGCGGTCCTGCATAGCTTGTGGTGCTCCCTCCCTCCACTACTATATACCCTTCAAATTACATAAATCCCAGGCCCTTGCAAGAACTGTAGTTCTTTATGTGTGGTATTACATTTTATGTTCTCGCTTGTTAAGTGAGATAATCCTGTACAGCCCGAGTTTAGTTGAGGTGCGGAGTGAGACATCTTGTGGCGGAAACTGGAAGCATCATGTGGACACGGGCTACTCTCTGCTGCTGCGGAGGCTTGGACTGTTGCAAGTGACCGGCTGAGATGGAGGGTGCCACGACTCTTTGCTGGCCAAACACAGCTGTAGTAGTAGCCTTTGGTAGGCGATGAGGGCTCATTTGGTATGGATATGAGTTACTCCATTATGCAAACCCATATCCCCTTGGTCTGTCTTATGATCCATCAGCGAGCCTTCACCGCTGGTCCACCAAGCCTAGCACAGACACCGTTGGAGGCGTCGCCACCATTGCGTAGTGAATGGGGAGCTCTGATTGTATGCGTGATTTAAGATATTCCAATGAATGTGGATGGTTTGTGCAAGTCTGTACACGCTGTGTTCTGTGTATGTTTCAGAGTGGAAGGATGCGATTGAGAGGAAAACGTCACAAGTTCATACGACCCCCTACGACTACAGCTCCATCACCCACTACAGCACGTGAGTCGCACGGTCTTGGCTTACTGGGCGCACGTAGGGTGAATGTAAAGGGTTGTCCGCTAATATCCACGTTGACGGCCCCAAACCAATGTTAGAAAGTCCACATTCCCATGGCAGGCAGAGCCAGTCTCTGCTTAGTGCAACTGCCGTTGATGCATCACAAAGTGGTGTTTTTTTTTTGTCAACCTCGGAGTAGTGTTGCCAACTCTGAATGAAGCAATTTCGGGATATTTTTTTTCTCAAACAACGTGACAAAATGTCATCTATAGTTATGGTAGTATGTCTGATTTAGATTACGTGTTACTTCATCACGCTGTCAAGGGACGCAATCAGATGACACTGTTATGTTTTCACAATGAATGAACATATGTTTGAATTATCTGCATTCATTATATTAATACATTTCTTAAAATATCCTATTCTTAAAATCTCCAGGATATTTTTCAGTCGTCACCGGGATATTGATGCCATATCTAGTAGAGACTCCCAGCCAATCTATGAGGGTTGGCGACCCTACCTAGGAGGGATGATGGACCGAGTGACTCCCGACCCTGAGTTGCACTTCTCATCCTTGTGCCTACAGAATGGCCGGCTCCAGAGATGGGCAGAGCCCGACCATGCTCCCCAAAGACAAGAGCAGCACGCGCCGCTTTGGAGGCGGCCACAGCCTGAGCGACGGGGACGTGGAGAAGATCAAGGAGATGTTCGAGCGAGCACCCGCAACAGCGACACCCAGCAGAGCCGCGTCACAGCCTGGCTCCTCTACAGGTGCGGGGCAGCAGCAACCACTGCAGTCACAGCGGTGGCAGCCATAGCAGCAGCAGCAGCCATAGCAGCAGCACGTGTAGTCAAGAGTGGTAGTGGCTGTGGCAGCAATAGCTACACCTGCAGCAGCAGTATCTGCAGCTGCAGCAGCAGTAGCAGTCATAGAAGTCAATAATAAAGGTTTTTGGGGTAAATTGCAGAAGGTTTGTCACGTAAATAAAATGTGCCAATTAGTTACTGCTTCAGCACACCGGTGTGTTGGAGATTAAACCTACGTAATTTTTAATTTTAGTACGAAGTTTTACTGATGATTACAACCTTACTATATTGGCTGTCTCGGGTGGTGGTGTGTCAATAACACATTTATATTTTAGGCGATCTAACACAAAAACCTGTATTATGCATATTATAATTGGTCGCAAAAGCCTACGTGTTAAGCCACAGAAGTAGCTGCAGTAGCAGCAGTAGCAGGAGTAGCCGCAGCAGCCGTAGCAGCAGCATCTGTGAGCTCAGGGAGCAGTTCCAGCGTGACTACCCTGCGAGATAGTTACAGCGTCTCCTTGCTTCATGAACAATGGCACGGCGCTCACCACTGCTGGTGGCCCTGAGCCAGTGGTGCACTCGCCATCCCCCCACACACAGCGGCTTCCTTGAGTGCATCGCATTGTGCATTAAATTTGGCGTGTGCGCTTGTACGTGTGTCGAGCTGTGCTACGAACCCCGCAACCCGAGTTAGATTCCTGCTTATGGCCAACATAGGTGACGATTATCTGAGCTGGTCCTGGACCTCCCCTAGGTCGACTCAGTCTCAAATCTGTACCTGGTGCGGTGTGTGAACATCGTCACTGGGGAGACAAAGGCGGTCGGGTGTGGTGCTGGCCAACCTACCCCCTCGTGTGCCATACCAGCCTTCAAAGGTGCTTGCTAACAGCACATGCCCCAACTGTCTGTTAAGGCTATACAGCTGATTTTTTTCGTTGTGTGTGCAGGAGCTGGAGCAGGAGCCGGTACCACGCACAGAGATGCTGGTGCCTGCACGAAGGAAGACGCGATGAGATTGTTTAACAAGGTACGTGCATGGGTGGTGTCACCCGGGCTCCGTTTATAAGGAGCCGGTGTACCTCATTGTGGGGCTACATCGCGAGCAGCAACGAGAAGTGCAGCAAAACCCATTGTTGTACTGTACTTCTACGCCCCCACGTGTATGCTTCAGCAACCCGCATCCAGCAGTGGAGTGATAGAGGGCTCGACACGTGCACACCTCGCCACCTCTTCTGTACAGCAGCGCTTGCAGTGGCTCTGAGCAAGAGCAGCAGTCACGTGCGTTTGTGTTGACTCAGCTGTCTGTGTTTGTTTTGCAGCTGCCCCAGGAGGTGAAGGGTAGCAGCATGAGAGGTACTCGCAGTTATGGTTATTCTTTAGTTTTAAGAAGCTGACTTTGAGGAAAGCCATGTCTGCAATGAACACATCACCACCACTGCACAGCAATAGGCAGTGGCACTCAGGTGCAGGCAGTGCTTTCTTGTAATACACAATTGTAATCTGTACTGTTGTCATTTTTTGTTTATTAAATGGAATGAAACACACTCTAATTTTAGCGGTATTGTCCTGCTACACTCACATATTTTATACCATCCGTATTCAAATGCCTTAATACCAGAACATAGCATTCTTCAGGACACATATATAACGGGTTCCGGAGACACTTGTAGAGGTAACTTCTTTATTACAATTCAACAGTCCAACAGCCCAACTACTCTGTAACAACTCCCAGGTACACAGCCTAGGTACACAGCCTAGATACACTACTCTGGCTACGCTCTGGAACTCGCCCTCACAAGGACGTAGAGTCGGGAGTTCCAGAGTCCCACCACTGGCTCTCACAGCGTCCCAGGGTCCTCAGATGGCTGGTCTTGGGTCTTGGGTCTTGAGCTACGACTGGCCCTGATCGTCCAGGGAGCTCCCCTTTTATGCCTAGTCCCCAACGAGGGGTGGGGCCGTGTGCACCCCCAGATATCCCACAGAGCACACACAGCCCCCCCCCCCCGTTGGTGGCGCCAAGCGGCTTAAGCGCCTGGGCCACCCGGGAACCAAACGCCTGGCACCAAGAGGCTTAAGCGTCTGACCCGCCTGGGAACCCAGCGCCTGGCGCCAAGAGGCTTAAGCGCCTGGCCCGCCCAGGGTCCCAGAGCCCCCAGCAGCCCCTCCCTTCTTATGTCACTACACATACACAGACATTTACACACATCTCATCAGTTGCTATCGACTCACATTCATTTAAAAACGTTTCACATCACCCCAATACTTCTGCATGAGGTACGCATATCACCAAACTGTACAGATAACAATCCTTCTGCACATTGTAGCTGCACTGACATTTTCCTTAACCAAGAACCTCAGCACATGTTCTGGCATCTCACAGCACATGACACAAACTGCTTGTATGTATGTTAAACTTCCTTCTCACTGCACATGGCCAACCGTGCTAATTGGAGGTGCAGGGGAAGGACAACTATCTTGAAAGTACCCAGGCTGTATTGCACAGCCGTCATGTCGCCACTACGACCCCACAGGCTGGCAGCGATCTGCCCCTCAGTTCCGGTCACCTTGAGCACAGAGTGCAGTGGCCCTTGAACCTCGCTCCCAGGTTTTTTCCTCGTCGCTGGCTGGGAGAGCAGAGTTGCTGTACTAGTTGAGCGCGCTGCAGGGCTGTGGTGGTGAATGTCACAGTTACGCGGAGACGCTCGCTCGCCGTGCCACCGCTGCTGCCGCTGTGGTGAGAGCGGCGCTCCGGAGTACGTGCCGGAGCCCTCCACGTGTGCCGTGTCTCGGCAGGAGCGCCCTCGCCTTGTGGAGTCAAGGACGGCGTCTCCACAGGCAGAGTAGGACGCTGGCCCCAAGGCCCGGGTGGCCAGGTGTGCATCCCGTACAAGCTTTCAGCTGCCTTCTGTGAGTGCCTCCTGCACCACAGCACGCTCATTCTGCTCCATGCTGCAGGGTTCACACTGCACTCATCTCCTACTTTATGTTTCAGTGTAATCACTATAATATCGCCTTTAATCCAGTTCATTGTTGATGCTGGTCCAGCTTTTGGATGAAATTACATTTTTATTGTTTGGACAATGGCCAGTCCATCCATTGCACACCTGCTGTCGACAATGCAACAAAACAATATTCACTTAATTGACCCAAGAGGGATGAGGGGCTCAGTTGACCATCAGTCAGCTTGATGTTGAGCAATCCAGCGTCCTATTGTGTGCAATGCGCTTTGAGTACAGGGGCACCCGGCCCGGTGTAGATCCCAGTTGCATATTGGCAGGGCCATTGCCGTTTTGTGTTGAGATACAAAATAAGTGACTACATTTATTTTACCAGGTAAGACCCACTGAGCTATATAGCTCTTTTTCAGAAGCGACCTGACCACAAATTATAGCTTAACAAAGTGGCTTATTACGTGGACATGTAGAGCAGCCAAATACTCGAAAGGCATGTTTCTAAATGTGGAGTGAAAAACTGGAGGACCCGGAGAAGGAATCCCCACGACCATGGGGAGAATATGCAAACTCCACATTTACAGATGTCAGGGTCGGGATCGAACCCACGACTTCGTTTATACCAAGGTAAAGGAGTTAACATCTCGCCATATAGGGGATGCCATGACCATGAAGAGCTGTCGCAGCGAGCGACATGGAGTGGCGCGTCACCCCGGGGATCGATGCTCGGCTAGCCGAGGCCCCTTCAGTCAGCATCTTGCATCCCACACTGCATGGCACTCGCTCGTGTCCTCATACTCTCATGGCATCACAGTGACGCCTGTATTCATCATTGCGGTTATATACAAATATATACCCATGTAGGTCAAATCCCAAATACAGGTACATTGCGATTGGGTTTTATGACAGCTATGAGTGTTCGGGTAGAAACCATGACCTCACGACACTTGAGAACCCAGTTTTATAATGGGTGACTGAAACCCAGTTTGGATCCCAGGTTCTCAGTGCTGTTAGCTCAGCGTCTCTAAAACAGAAATCACCTCTGAGGCACTGAGCCACCACCACCATAACTTTTCATGGCGATGCCAAAGCCAAGAAAGCGAGCTTTTGCCTCTCACTGAAGTTTCTTTCTGTAAGAGTGGGGCTCTAAGGCTACGGTCCTGCATACGAGTGGATTCTAACGCAGCTTTACTGATTCTAACACTCTGTCGGTGGACATACCACTCATGTGCCAGTAATAAATAAACTTGGGCATTGTGTTTTTGTCAGACGACTATGACGTGGAGGCGGTCGTACAGGCGACACAAGAGTTTGAGAAGAAAACCTGCGTCCGGTTCCAACCCCACGCTGGTGAAACGGACTTCATTCACATCCAGGACTTGGGCGGGTGAGGGATTCACATCGAGCATCGACATCCAGCATTCACTCTCAGTATTTACGCCCACCAATCGCATCCAGCATCCACTCCTAGCATTCACTACCAGCAATCACTTCCAGCAATCAGACCTAGCATCCACATCCAGCAACCACATCCAACATTCACTCTCAGTATGCATGCCCAGCTTTCATGCCCAGAATTCACACTGAGCATTCACACCCAGTATCCACTCGCAGAATTCACATCCAGAATTACCACCCTACAGTGTGGAGGGTGGGGGGGGGGGTCTCAAAACAGGTATTACACCTGCAAAGTAAATGCCCTAGACCTTTGGGGATTTTCGTCAAGTGTAATATTGGTGTAACGCATCCGAGAAGACATCGACCAAGAAGATGCAGCGATAGAATAATATGTGCAGGTGGATTGTTGCATCGCAAGATCGTGAGAGGTGTCGGTGGCTTGGGGAGGCCTTCATCTATTCCTCGGCTCATTACTGGCTTGTCTGCTGAGACTCTGATGGGAAGTAATGAAGATCAGAATCTGTGTAATAAAGGACTCCTTCACACGATGTCGCTCTCCGTTGGTCCTTTATTTATGTTTTTCTCCTCCGCACCCCGCTGGCTTCCTCCTCGGACCAGCGTCGTCTCTCACGCGCCCCGCGCACTCTGCAGCCACCCCGCTGCTCCATGTGCCCCCGCACACTCTGCAGCCACTCTGCTGCCCGTGCACTCCGCACGCTCCGCTAGCCACTCCGCTAGCCCCGTGCAACCCGCACGGCTCCGCTAGCCACTCTGCTAGCCCCGTGCACCCCGCACGGCTCCGCTAGCCACTCTGCTAGCCCCGTGCACCCCGCACGGCCCCGCTAGCCACTCTGCTAGCCCTGTGCGCCCCGCACACTCCGCTCTCTCTCCGCACACCGCTAGCTGGCGGTGTGCCAGCCCTATCAGCCACGTGGCTGATGGCACGGCGGCCACCCAACGTGGTCTCGCCTGTTCACTCCATCGACTGGCCCTGATCTCTTCTGGGGTCCCTCCTATAACCTCTCTCCTACGTGACCCTGACTCCTCCCTCTCGGATCGTCACATCCGGCCTTCCCATTTACGCTCGCATTACATCTGTATTCATACTGGAGGAATCTGATGAACTATGAAGCTCTGTTTCACAGCTGTTGGTTAGGAGCGGGTCAGCAAGTTGCATAAATAAGAAATACTAGAGAGGATACAAGAGTAAAATAGAGAAAAGTCAAGCAATTCAATAAAAAAGGGTGTACATACAAGTTGCACAAGTATATATATATTTGCAGATTTCTCAAGATGAAATGGATGCTTGGGAAATGCAACAAAACAACAATAACAGAAATCAAAGACCAAACCAAGACAATAACGTCTTTCGATTACATATCAATCCTAAAATGTCAAAATGGGTAATTTTCCCCCATGCCTCTCAGCAAGAGCTGGTCACTGCCAGGGAAGCAGGGAGGGGAGCAGCCACTGTCCCTGGAGCCCGGCAAGGTGACCAAGGGCATCGTGCTGCACGAGTTGATGCACGCACTCGGCTTCCAGCACGAGCACTGCCGTAGCGACCGCGACGACCACGTCTGGGTGGTGCCAGAGAACGTCAAGAAAGGTGAGAGACATCAGCAGCAGTATCACCCTCAGCAGCCACAGTCTGTCTAGTGAAGGTATTTTATGGAGAGAGATGTATAGTTAACACAAAAAAAATACATATATAGTCGTACCCCGATTTATGCCTCCCCTTTTTACATAGTTTCGCAAATATGTTGCCGCTTATTTTAATACTGCTACCTGATTTGCGTCCCCTCAACCCACACTTCCTTCGCTGACAGCATCCGTCCTTTCTCGTATCCATCGCCTCAGCCTTTGCATCCACCTACCCTGTACATGAACGACTTAAAGAAATGTACCGTACTGGAAAATTGCTTTGATTTGCGTCGTTTAGATATTCGTCTCACCTTTTAGGAACGCATCCCCAATGTAAACCGGGGTGTTGTATGTATGTATGTTGAATTTCTTTCATACCGTATGTAGCCAACTGTGCTAATTGTAGGTGCGGGGACACAGTACGGTATTACTTTACTTGATTGGAAACGTCATTAACATCACCTTCCTTTGGCTCATTACAGTTTTAACTTAACTGAGAAATTGTCCAACCATTCATTACAGTACAGTCATACTGGTACTTTGAAAAAACGAAAGGATAATAAATGGCTGGACAATTTATCAGTAAAGCTAAAACTGTAATGAGCCAGAGGAAGGTGATGTAAATAAAATGTCCAATCGCACCTCACAACACACATTGGCGCTACTTGGTCGATCATCAAGTGTAATAACAGAGTGGCAGCCATTAAATGGCATGCATTCCAGAGGATGAAAGATCAGTTTGTGTGGAGGTGATGGCTAATGAACCAATAATGTAATGCATCTCATTGTTCTCTAATATGGTCAAATAAAGAACAGACAGATATAAGCAATTCATAATCAACGTTTTTGGGTTTAGATCGCGTTATTTATAAATGTGTCGTAACCCTCCACCACCCGACACGGCCAATCAGTAAAAAAGTGTCACGTTGACAAAAGACAATTAGTTCACTGCTTTAGCCCACCGGTGTGTTGAAGCGTGAAACCACAACATTTACAATAAACAGATATAAGCAACATGATGGGTTCTGAGATGGTTGAATGAGATGGTATCAGTCCTTTGAACTACCGGGCCACCTCGTAAACTTATGAAATAAATAAGTAGTGGCACCTGCTTCTCACTCTTGAGACAATTTTTTTTACAATTTAAGCAAAATTAACTTAAACTACACAAAGCACAGGTTCCTGCGGGGTCAGTGGACTGGTTTCGAGGCTGCGTATGCATCTGCGAACGTGAAAAATGCAGCACGGTTCCATGCACTTGTCACCCAGTGTGCATGGAATGAGGGAATCTGAGCAAAATATGCTTATATGTGGTGTACGTGGCATCTGCAACAGTGATGATGCGATATCACAGGTGTTCTTTGTTTTTCATAGAATGGAAAGAGCAGATTGTGGACATCAATTCAAACGAACAGGATTTGGTAGCGCCCTACGACTGCAGCTCCATCATGCACTACAGCATGTACGTATGTGTGTGTGTTCGCGTGCTATGCTATGATCATGCCGAGCCGAGTTTGATTCCTGCTCATGGCCAACACCAGTGACGATTATCTGAACCGGTCTTGTGCTTCCCCTAGGTCGACTGGTATGGTGTACAAACATTGCTACTAGGGAGACAAAGGTGGCCGGGTGTGGTACTGGCCACCCACCCCGCCTTGTGTGTTGTGCCAGCCTTTATAGGTGCTCACTTACAGCCCTCGGCCCAACAATCTGTCAAGGTTATATTGGGGTTATTTGTGTTTGTGTGTAACGTTACTTATGCACAAAAGCATGTACATGTGTGTGTGCATAACTTTACTCATGCACTATAGAATATACCTGTGTGTGTATGTAAGATTACTCATGCACTACAACATGTATGTGTGTTTTTAACATTACTCATGCACCACAGCATGTACGTGTGTGTGTAACATTAATTATACACCACAATGTATGTGTGCGTAACATTACTCATTCACTACAGCGTGTACGCATGTGGTCTTCTAGGTTGGCAGGTTCCGTGGATGAGCGCAACCCAACGATCATCCCCAGGGACGTTCTGTGCATGTTGCACATGGGACAGAGCAACTCGCTGAGTCCCTGCGACGTGGTCAAGGTGCAGAAGCTGTACGGCTACGAGGCGGAGGTGCACGCCGCTCCCGCAGGTTGGGCCGCGTGGTTTACGTCGTTGGCCTCTGTGTTGGGTTTTAACATACTCTGATAATATATGCATTGTCCTTGAAACTGATTGGTCCACACCAGAGACAGCTTTCTTTTGAGCCTCGTCTCAAACGTTGTTAGACCAGAGGACGCCTCTGCTACTGTCAAAGGAGGTCCCATGAAGTAAGCTGATTGTTGTAAAGCTCTGTTACTAGAACCAAACCAATCGTGCATCTATGACTTTAACTCAGCTCAAGCACCCCATAAATCTCATGACTTCCCCTTTCCCCTCTCCTCTCGCCCTTCTACTCCAATGCTCTTGCACTATGTCCATCCCACAGGCCTCTGCTATACCTCTGTAGACATCCTGTAACTTTACCGTTGCAGACTCCGCTCTCTTCTGGATGGTAGCAAGGCTGGCCGCGGTTCCTTCATGGGATTTAGTTTTTGACGCACGCATCGTGGATCCCACCGTCAGCACATTTCCCAGCTCCCACTCTTTCTGCCCAGCTCCCACCCTCCCCAGGCAACTCCACCTGGTCACCTCTCTCTCTCTCTGTGCTTTAAACTAAACTACTTGTATTTTACCAGGCAAGGCCCACTGTGCTATGTAGCTCTTTTTCAGAAGCAACTTGGCTACAAATGGTAGCTCGACGAAGTGGCATATGTAGAAATTTACAGCAGCCAAATACTCTAAACGCATGTTGATTCACACTACCACGGGGAGAGAGACATGCAGACGCCAAATATACAGCAGGTTTCAGAGTCGGGATCAAACCCACGACCTCTTGCATACCAGGCGAGGTAGTAAATATCTCACCAACTGGCGCTTTCAAATTTCTCCTCAAAGTTTTCCCTTTAAACCATGTTTTCGGACCTCTTTCATTTGTTATTTTCTCTTTTATCTCCTTTGCCTGGTCCGTGCCATTCTCTCCCGTTTCCTCATTTGTATTTCCACGCTGTGAGACACTTGTTGTATGTTATGGGTGCATTAAGATTGTGAGTTATTGTTGTATATGAGGAATTCTGGCTATGTGAACTTCAGACGTTGCTCCGTGGCCGTGCATGGTGCCGTGGAGTTGCTGGGTGCCCCCCATGTGTGCTCACCTGGCCCTGTCTCTGTGTCGGCAGCGGTGGCCAGGAGGAGCAGAACCTCGGCTGATGAGGACGCGCCGCTGGACAGCAACGTCGGCGTTTGGAAGGCAAAGGTAAAACAGAAGCTGACTTTGTTTTAGCGAATGACTTATTTATAATCCATTACTTTATCACAATCGTTCAGCATACTTAACAAACACAATTATAAAACTGCATGGCTCACAATTAGGTTCTGGGGCGCCGTGGTCAGATATTAACTACCTCGTCTGGTATACAGGAAGTTGTGGGTTCGATCCCGACTCTAACACCTCTATATTTGGGGTTTGCATGTTCTCCCTGTGGTCACGTTGATTTTTCTCCGGGTCCTCCAGTTTTTCTCTCTACATTTAGAATCAACATGCGTTTAGATTATTTAGATTATTTTGCTGCTATCAATTTACACATGATAAGCCACTTCGTTGAGCTATCATTTGTGGCAGGTCACTTCTGAAAAAGAGCTATATAGCTCAGCTTACCTGGTATAATAAAAATAGTTTAATATATATTAATGATGAAATCAAGGAGCCATCCTGTTCTCAACCAGCGATACTTAACATTATTCACTCCTATACCTATCCCACCTCGTTCGTGGGATGATTCAACCAGATTTGCAAGTGGCAGGCGTGCGGGTTTTAGGCTGCATCACCACTGATCGGAAGATATGTGTGCATGCTTCACCACACTGGTTAGTGCACACTGGTGAACTCACCTGACATGGGGAAATACAGGCCCATTAGCCTCTGGTGACACTTATACAAATTGATCTAAAAAATAATTGAAAACGGAACATGGAAAATAGAGAAGGACAGCCAACCAATGTGAGCAAGCAGCATTTAGGAACATGTTATGTGGATACTGGTAGAGAAGTCTACCAATCACATTTTGGAAAGAAACGAATGAATATCAAAGAGCATTGTATATAACCACTGTAAACCATGGAAGATATTCGACTCAGTGAAAATGTATGCAGTCAGCCACCCTCTCACAAACCAAGGCCTAAATAATGCAAATATTTAAAAGTAATATTACATTAAATGAAAAAAAGTGTTGCTGGCTGGCTGGTTGCCTTAATTCCTGGCTGGCTGGTACGCCAGCAGGCAAGTGTGCGTACACGATGGTGACATGATCTAATTTATTTAGACAAATACTGTAATGTCCTAAGTAAATAGCGAGACGACCACCGGCTGGGTATTAATCAACCTGTGCAAATCGAATGCTGAACACCGCACCATTCTTAGAACAAATGAACCTTATGGCGGGACCCTGGGGTCCCATAAGCCCCCGGCTCTCACATAAACTGCGTTGCGATGTCATTTTATGTTTGTTGAAGGCGAACAATACGGCAATCTATTCCTCTCGACGAGCTCTACACGATGCGCTAATCAAAATTCAAAAGTTTTGTTTATGACTACGGCAATTTTGGCAACGACGGGTGCTTGGTGAAGAACAAGAGGATTGATTTCTGGTGGGTCGCGGCGTTTATGTGCGTGGTGGGATGGAGTCGCCAAAAATAAATAAATTAATTACGATTTTGACTTCCGTTTATTCGGGACCCCGGGGTCCCGCCATAAAGTTAAAATATTAATCAGTTAGCAAACATTGTTTCTGCTCCAGTTTTTTTTGCTTCAATTACATTTTTGGTGGCATTTTTATTATTTTTCGTATCCAGTTGCAAGAGGGTTTTCCGTATCAAATTACATTTGAGAAGGGGAGTTAGACAAGGAGACGCAGTAATGCATTGTTTACCATATAGCAATTATTTAAATTTCCACATTACACTGTAAACTATCTTAAGGCATTCACACTGATCTTTTTTAAAGCTAATCATCACATTTCCTAGAAACTTGATTTGCATGCAAGATTTTCAAAATGGCTCTGACCATAATCACAGTGGCCAAAGATGTCGAATAATAAGCGTGGCTACCGATGAACACTCTCAACCACTGCACTATTTTTTTGCACGCACTATATAAAAAATTGTGACTGCTGTAATGCAGTTTATGGGTGTGGTTTCATGAGCCAGTGGGTGCTGCCACTGTAATTTTGTTGTTTTACAAATTCATCGTTTTGCATTTCCGTGCGTTTTCTCCATGAAGACGAAAGAGGAAGTTGACGAGGAAGCCAAGAAGAAAGGTAACGGCCGGTGGGGATCCCATGGTCACAGGGTGCAGGTTGCCTCGATCAATGGCGGAGCCAGGATTTTCAGGTAGAGGGGGAAACCCCTCCAGAAATTAAAAATGATAGGAGTTGTTAGTAAGTAAGGACTTTCGTAACTGCAGGGATCCATACTCTTTGGTTCTTTCGGTAAAGTCACGTAGGTATAAAATAAAATAAATTAAAAAACAATTGCTGTGGTTGTCCCAACTGATGACGGATGCTTGTGTTGCGCCCGAAACGTCGTGATTTAATTGATTTTATTTTAGACCTACGTGAGTTTACCGAAAGAACCAAAGAGTAAGTAAGGACTTGTCCCTTTATTTTTATTCGACGCGTGTGCGGCGATGGTGCAGCCATCGATCGAGGGTCGAATTTGAACCGTGTGTGATTGGCATCGCGCTCGCTGAAGGTGAATGCCTTCAGGGAAGTTGTGTACTGTATACGCAACTGCGCACAATTCTGTGAGTCACTTATAGCTGCTTTGCCGTTACTTATTGCCAATTATGAACTCGGACTATTGTCCTATCATCTCATAGAGTTCCTGGCACATAATAATATGCTACACAGTGGCAGTGGGGGTCGCAAAATGCCGATTTATTTCTAATAAACCCCAATGATCCGATCGAAATTAGGGATTTCAATCGGATCATTGGGTGGGCACGAGCCACCCCCCCCCCCCCCCACTGGCTCTGCCACTGGTCTCGATGGTCTTGCTGACCACTCGATGAGATTCCCACGCCATGGCAGAGTGCCTAGAAAAAATGCGCGGTACTCTCAGTTGAGCACTCATATGTTATTTCTCAATTTTGATAAACTCTATTGTCTCCACTTAAAGCTTTCGTGACTGCAGGAATTCATATTCTTTGGGTCTTTCTATCTACGTGGCTTTACCGAAAGACCCAAAGAATATCAATTGTCTCCTTTTTATAATAAATGCACATTGCTGTGCTTCAGCACTATCTTTGAAATACATGTTTTATATTTTCTGTAAAATGAAATGTAAATACTCCCCTGTATGCTGGTTTAAAGTCGGGACAAATATTACGTGGGCACAGGTAAATCTTCGTGAAATGAACAAACCCTCATCTCGGTTGTGGGATGAAGCTCTCTAAGAAAATAGTTTTTTGACCATAGTGCGGGAAGCTCCATGAGGTCATAAACACTTAATATGTCATAACTCATCACATTCACAAATGTTAAACATATATAGTTGTTGATTTGGAGCTTTCGTGACTGCAGGAATCCATACTCTCTGGTTCTTTCGGTAAAGTCACCTAGATAGAAAAAATACAAAACTAAATAAAACACGACGTTTCGGTCGCAACACAAGTGTCTGTCTTCAGGTGTGAAAAAATGATCTGCTGTTGGGGCTTTATATACGCACGGGAGGAGAGAAGGAAGGGGGGGGAGGAGTTTGGCTGTGGGAGTTCACAGGAGAGAAGGGGGAGGGTTTGCGGCGTGCATGGACGGGTGGGGCTAGAGAAATTAGCAAGTAAATGGACTTGTAGTACAAGTCGTAATCGGACAACGACAACTGGGTGGGTGAGAGAGGACGACGACTACCGGGTGGGTGAGTGAGGACGACAATCGGGTGGGTGAGTGAGGATGAAAACCGGGTGGGTGAGTGAGGATGACGACAACCGGGTGGGAGAGTGAGGACAACGACGACAACTGGGTGGGTGAGTGAGGACGAAGACAACCGGGTGGGTGAGTGAAAATCATAGCAGTGTTGCAGCCGAAACGTCGTGTTTTCCCGTGCCTATATAAAGCCACAACAGCAGATCATTTTTTCACACCTGAAGATGGACGCTTGCGTTGCGACCAAAACGTTGTGTTTTCTTTAATGTATTATTATTTTCTATCTACGTGGCTTTACCGAAAGAACCAGAGAGTATATATATATTTGTCTTTGATATGGTGGTAGAGCTACACAATTTTACAGTAAAGGCCAATCTTTTATGGGCTTCATCCCACTACCTAATCATAAAAAAGTCGCAACAACAATTCTTGTCTCGCGCTGTCAGGGCTCGAGTGGAAGGAGAAAACGGATCCCCTTAGGAACCTCATTAAAGAGCTGATGGAGATCCGCTGGTGAGGAGCTTCTCTCTCTTGGGCTGTTTGTACCCCCCCCTCTCCCCACACGTGGCTTCTCTTCTGGCCAAGGCTTTTCCTGGAGTCGGTATCTACTGCTCAAGTCAGCATTGGGCAGCAGTCGTCTCTAAGCTCTCCAGTGGGAATGTGTCCACAGGATAACCCCTCTTGATATACAGGGGAGCTCAAAAAGCAGGTCACATAGGGCTTTCTGTTTATTTTAACAAATCACGGAGGGTTATTGAATTTTTTTTTAAATGTTCAAAATGACTTCCAGTAATATTAATGTATTCATTAATTATTATTTTTAATGAATTTAGGGATTTTTTTACAATTACAGCAGCATAACTAGAAACGAATTGAATTTGTTAATCTTTAGTCAATTAATTTTACGCATTTGTAAATGTCACCTGAAATAGATATGAAAAATATAATTGATTAAATATTAACTTAGAGACTAATCAATTAAAATGCTTTAATGCCATTGTTAAAATAAATTGAACAACCATACGTGTCATTACTTTGGGCCACCCTGTACTGACAAAGAAGTTGAATCATTTCTGATGGGATGATGGTCTGAGTCAAACTTACAACCTAACATTTGTAAAATGCACCATCAGAAGATTCTGCTACTTGGCTGGATTATCAAGCTTGTTTTCATATGTAACAGATATTAACTTTACACTTTTGCATGCTTAGTGAACCAAACGAGCATGTTAGTCTTGTTTCACTTTGTTAAATGTTGTTCGCATTACACTCATCTGTAAAACGTAAGCGTTGTTGCTCTTTGTTAATGCCAAAATATACTTTTAACAAGGAAGAAATGTCATGTATATGCACAGATTTTGTAATGCTTTCCAACATGAATATATATTTTGTATGAATGCGTATGACCTGTTATGGGTCAGAAACATGGATGGAAACAGAGAAAATGGAAAAAGAAATTCAAAAGCACATCAATAAACTTGGAGAGTTGCACAAATGGCATTACATTGAGAGACAGAAAGAGGAACATATGGCACAACAAATGCATAGTAAATGCATCATATTGACTGTTAAGAAAAATAAGTCAGCTTGCACAGGATGCACCGCTGGAAAGGATGATGGCCTCTGGGAATGCGCCCTTGAGGATGACCATCACAGAGATGGAGCAATTAAATAAGCAGGTATACAGATGCTGGATGGATTGTTACATCACAGGCAAATAAGAAATGGCGACATCTTGTGGAAGCCTTCATCCAGCAGTAAAACTATCGTGGTTGATGATGAACAACGTTAGCCTCCTAGTCGCATGATGGGATGATGTCATGCGACATATACCATGACATCACATGCAGGTAGAAATGAGCATACTCATTTGCATGCTCATATGAGTTTGGAGACACTTTGGCATAACATAGCTGCTTGCTTCCAGGAATGAATAGCTTGTTTGTAATGTAGCCAATGCATTATTTATGTGAATGCAATAGATTATGTTGGGCTTATTGTAATACCAGCGTGCGTCTATTTGACAGGTATGACAGCTCCTCACTGCCATGCCTGCAGAGTCTGCTGAACATGCTGTCTGCAGAATGTGTTGAGGACAGAGAAATATTGCTTAATGTTTTCAAGCAAGAGGGCGGTCCAAGTAGGTTTTGTATTCTGACACGTTTTTCATTAAACGATTAAAGGTAAAATATTTAATCAACTCAGTACATAAACATCATATCACGTCAAGTTTATATATATGTTTTAACCATGTGAAAACCCAAGAGACCAGGATAGTCTCATTTACAACATAGACCTAGGCCACCAACGTGACATTGCAAAACAAATCATATAAAGTACAGCAATGAAAAAATAGAAATCAGAGCAAAAACAACCGTGGCACATGAGAAATCCAAAATATGATGCAAACATAAATAAATGTTAAATAATACATTCCCTGTAATGGAAGGTGGCTCTTGTAGATTATTTTTAGACTGAACAGAGCACAATTACGAATTATTTAATGGACAGATTACACAGATAGAGGGAGATGACTAATAAGTAAACAGACGAGGATATATATGAGTTAAATGGCCAATGTTAGTCTATGGGCAATGTAAGTTTGCAATGTAAGTCCCTTGAAAAATGTTAGTATATGGTGACTATTATACTAAATTGTAAACAGACAAAGATATACGAGACAAATTCTATTGGAATTTAAGTCATCATAAATGTCTCGGTTCCTATATGCTGTAAAACAAGAGGATGGATGGGAAAAAGAGTGAATGATTAATGTGGAAATTCAAGTTCGGGAAACTTATAGAGGATTTAAATCGAGTATCAGCCACCCGTTTTCACGTGCATTGAATTTCCCTCATCTCTTCCACTAATCACCACACAAAACTACCATGGCAGAATACAACTTTTGGATTCCAGTTAATTCATTAAGGTGTCTTAATCAAGCGTTTTTTTAATGAGCAGGGTACAGAAAGTCTCCTCTCTTTTCATTAAGAATTATTGTGTGGTGCTGGATTAAAGTGACCCGTTGTTAATTAGGTCCCCCACTCCAAAAGCAAACATGCACAGACATAGCACAGACTCATGCATCACCAATTCCTACCATTATGTTGATAATGAATTATATAGTTAGACACCTAGGAACTAGCCACACCGCATTCAAATTCAACATTTGTTCAAATAATACAGCTTGTGCGATGCCATAATCTTACATGGGTCTCTTGTAACTTATTTTCTAGCGCTCTTACAGAAGATGATTGAGTCTTGCAGGCTTGACAAGTCACGAGTGCAGATAATAACGTTGAGGAATAAGATTACTCTGCTTCTGTCAGAACATGAACTCTTTGGAGGTAAGATCTCTATTCTTAGCCTTGACTTTAGTTAATCTGTATAAAGAATTGCCAGAAAGCCTAAAAATATGCGGATTATTCGCCATTACCGTTATTCCCCCATGGATTCTACTCTGTGTTGCACAATCTTCATTTGTGTCATGCATTTGGTGAGATCTCTGCATTGTATGTTTGCATCAAAACACATCTAACCGTCATATTTTTTCAGTTTTGTACCACCTGCTATGTCGTTGCTGTCCTATGTTAATTTTCACAAATAAGTATGAAATTGGTCCTTGTTTACAATGCGTACACGGCTGATCAGAACTCACATGTCCCCACTGCTATAGTGTTCAAGTTAGAGTTTTCTTTCAAACAGATTATTGGACAATGCAGTGTTGGCCAACCGATGCCATATAGACTTTGTAGGCTGGCGCTCATGGCTTTACCATTTACACGTTATTGTTTCAGGTTTCAAATTCTTTTATAATTTGCATGTATGTACAGTAACTAGTTTCCAATGTACAGTCTGTTCTCCTATAACGCGGTAGTTGCGTTCCTGAAGAACACAAGCATTGTGGAAAACCGAGTTATAATACATGATATCTAATTTATGGTAAAGCCCAGTCCACGATAACACATGAGATGCATATACAGGCTGAACAAAGACAGGCACGTGGGTAGCATCTAGAAGCATCCAGCAGTATCCCACCTTGTGTGATGCTACGCCGAGGCAGTCGTACAACTGCTTATTTCTACTCGTGCGACGGAATTCTGTTAACTCAATCGCATTATATCCAGTTCGCATTATACAAAATGTGTTCCCAAATACATTCATCACGTTATATCCAATTCGCGCTATGAAAACACCTGGCGTTATTGGACAACAGACTGTATTTTGTAATGCGGCCATTAGCTGCAATTGATTTAGAAAAATAATTGTACTTGCCTTTCGTCACACTTTATCTTCTTTTGGTGTAATAGTTGGAAAACAGTTCGAGAAGACTGGAGACATTGCAGGAGATCCCTCAGACGAAATCAAGCTGTGGCCCGAGCAGAGTGGCAAGGTGTACATCCCCTACAGCATCTCCATCGCCTTCAGTGAGCGCAGCGTGCACTGCCTGGCCGCACGTTTCATTCCACACAATGGGCTTCACGACCAATATTATTATTATTGGTTTATTTTGGGTTAGATCGTATAAGTGTTGTTGAATTGGAGCTGTAAACTCTCAACCGTCCGACTAAGCCAAACAAATGAAGTGGTAATGTGCTACTATAGCCCACGTGACAACTTGGTTATGTTGAAAAGCAAGCTAAATTGTACCTTTTGTTACACGATGTTTCGCTAGAAATTACCCTCAGCGTCATCAGGTTTCAACAAGATCTCAACTTTCGAGTGAAACTTCGTATAAAATTGTCAAGTTTTTGCTTTGCGTTGTTCGACTGAAACACTGTTAATGTACTTTTGTGTAACATTTTCAGACCACGCATCATACTTGCCTATGCTATATTTATTCATTTATACCGTCACAAACTTCACATTATCCTTACCCTTGTGACACTCCTCTATATAACCACGCCCAATATATCCATTGTGGTTCCACCCAACCTGAATTGCATCGTTCCTCACCATTTCCCTGTTCAACATTATCTTGAGAAATGTGCGTTTAGATGCTTTCTCCTTCCACTTGGTAAGGTTCGTATCGGTCTCTTCATTCATAATGTTTTGCTACGGCATGAAGGGAGTAAAACTACTAGTAAGTAGCATCAATGTGAGAGTAGCATTTTCCTTTCAGATGCCAGTGACAAAGAAGCCATTCAGCAGGCCTGTGATGAGCTGACGGAGAAAACGTGCGTCAGACTTATACCCAAAGACCCCCAGGAGGACTACTTTTACTTCAGAGCGCTGGGCAGGTGTGTCTCCTAGTTTTCTGATCTGCTACAAATAAAAATAACATTCTCTGTCACGAAATGTACTCACTGTTCGAAGTTATTTTATATTCATAGAGCGCCTTCACTCAAGGCGTTCAATGTAAATAAACCGTGACAAAATATAATAATTCATATGGTAGGGGCGGGCAAAATTTTAGAAAAGAGTGACCGCGAGGGTACTTAGGGGTCACGGAAGGGTAGGGGATTAGTCTTAGGGGATTTTTTGTTGAAATTGTAAAGGTACGAAATTTTGTAAATGTGCAGATGTCTCCGTTACAAATTAGTGGAGCAAATCGCCCGACATAGTATTTTCATCCAGTTAATAAAATTGAGAACATGGCCCGAAATGTTCTAATCTACAATGAGATTTTATCATAATCTAACTAAATCTTGACTTAAAGCTTTCGTGACTGCAGGAATTCATATTATTTCGATCTTTCGGTAAAGCCACGTATACACTACTATTAGATCTTGTCAACAAACTTTGAGACAAGAAGACTCATTTGATCGAGTCCTCACTTTTCTGAAGAGATGCCACGACACTAAGGTAATACCGATCGCCTTTATAATCACATCTGCTCCTGTCACTTATCCTAATGCTAAACGGATCTTGTTCAGGGCCAGCCTAGCCCTGATCTCAGAGAGAATAAGACTGCTCCGATTTGAACTAGACAATTTAGACAAGACCGTCTTGCAATCACACTTAACATTGACAGAAAAAAATTCTACATCTGATTGGGACCATGTAGATAACATGACAGCCTCTTCAGCCGCCTCAATGTCAGTTAAATGCAAAGATAACCTCATTTCCCAGTTCAACCTCCTCTCCAAGAAGAAGCCAGATCCAGACAAAAAGTTAGATGGTGACAAGATTGTTATCAATCAGAGCAACAGCCCAATTTCCGACAGCCTAAAATCTGTTCTGGCTAAAGGGTTCAATTTCGCAGTCACCCCTAAACACATCCCAGTTCATGATATCATTGCCCAGGTCGACGTAGCCCTTAACGGGTTGGGACACGTTCCTGCAGACGTAGCAAGATCATAAATCGCTGCAATCCTAAAAAATGCTGAGACACCTATTAGCAACATCAACAAGGATGAGCGCCTTTAACTCTCTCAACTAAAAAAAGAGAGATGATATAGTCATCCTCTCAGCCGACAAGGGCAATGCCACTGTCATTGTGGACAAAACCACATACAATAACAAAAATCAGGACCTACTTAATAATGGCAGCTATACCAAATTAGTAGAGATCCTACCAACCGCCTGGTAACGAAAACCAACATCATCATCACTGATTCGACGTCTTTAATCGAACCAACCACACGGCTTTCCTTGAAACCCTCTGCTGCTAGACCACCCAGATTTTATGGATTACCAAAAATCCATAAAGAAGGTACACCACTCCATCCTACTGTCTCCACCATTGACTTACCCACCTACAAACTGGCACGATTTCTGTCTGAGAACTTGCAGACACAAAATCCAGGTACGGTTCAACACAGTACATAAAATTCGTAATTGTATCCCATCTCGATTTAAAGCTTTCGTGACTGCAGGGATTCATCTTCTTGGTTCTTTCGGTAAAGTCACGTAGAAGGAAGTAATAAAATAATAAAAATAAAACATAATAAAATAATTCTCACGACGTTACGGCCACAACGCAAGCAGCCGTCCTCAGGTGAAAACCAGGTCTGTCGAGGCGACAGCGTCTGAATGAAACAGCACCATGCTTGGAGCATATATTTAAGCTGGGTTGGAAGATGCTGCTAATCCTGCATAATGCACGGGCATAAGTAGTACTAATCACATACCTGCATTTCCCATAAATATGCTAAATTCCTCTTGATATGCAATTTTTTTTGTCAAGGCGCCCTTTCCCCCCCTTCCAACCCAGCTTAAATATATGCTCCAAGCATGGTGCTGTTTCATTCAGACACTGTCGCCTCGACAGACCTGGTTTTCACCTGAGGACGGCTGCTTGCGTTGTGGCCGAAACGTCGTGAGAATTATTTTATTATGCTTTATTTTTATTATTTTATTACTTCCCTTCTACGTGATTTTACCAAAAGAACCAAGAAGATGTTTCCCATCTGTGATGTATATGATCCCTGACATGCAATATCCCGGTGTCTACAAACTAAGCAGTGTCTGTGGCAGCAGTTACATTGGGGAAACTAAGTGACATGTCTCAGACCGGGTTTGTGAACATAAGGCAGATCTGAAACACGGTAGGACCAATACCTCAGCTGTGGCTGACTATTATTTTAACGCGGTGGGCACACATGAAATTGATTTTGCCAAGACAAAGGTACTCTGCAAACCCACTGGCTATCAGCAAAGATTCGTTCATGAAGCCATCCAGATATTTTAACACAGACACAATTTCAACCGAGAAGATGGGTACAAACTGAAGAATAATCACTGGATGGACGTTATTAACCAGTTTAGGTCATAACTGGCTGTGATGTTCCTATCCTACTTACCTATGTTAGCAGTTATTTTCGAAAATCTGAGTTACATTCACTAACAGAGCCAACCTTTAGGTGTGTTAGTAAATGGCGGCTTGCCACTACATCGTCCGGGTCCTCGCCGAGCTTACATTTACAAGAATATTTATCTCTCCTACTCGCTCCTCAAATTTTTTCTCTCCTACTCGCTCCTATATTGGCATTAGCTGCCCCTCCCATCTCTAAACCTTTATAAACAGCCTGTCTCAGCCGATTTCCCCCTCTTTTTCACCTGCAGACGATTGCTTGTGTTGCAAGAGAAACGTCGTGATTTTGATTTTATTATTTTTTCTGTCTAAGAATCTAACTATACAACTACAACTTAATGTTATACAGTGCCATTCACACAATGCCTCAATGCTTTACATTAAATAATCCGACCGTTAGCAAGCCTTGAACAAGTAAAACTGGATAAAACCCTAACATTAAACTGTATAAAACTTGTAAGAAATAAAAACCTGATTTAAAAAAACCTTAACAAATAAAAACAAATAAAACTCTAAACGAATAAAACTGTAAAACGAAGCCCTTAAATATAACTAAACAATAAATACAATGTTAAAGGGATGTAACTAATGCCTTAATTTTCACCCAAATGTTTGAAATAATCCTCTGTGAGTTGTTAAGAACAGTTAAATTTGTAGTGCCACTTGTGATGATAATTTGCATCTCTTGGATGAAATAAAATAGCACAAATGAGAAACAAATGCAGACAATGTAACCACAACATTCAATTAGACATTTTACTATCATACAGTAACTGTCTCGGCCTCGCTGTGCGCTGCGTTGCACCACTATCCGAGTAGTTAACCTCACATTCAATAAACCTTCAGAGCCAGGGTGAACATCCGACTCCAATGTATTTCATGAATAGAACGAGGTAAAACTGATGGAAAAACACAGCACAAAATACAGCATCTGTTAATGCTTGCAATATCGATACAATGAATGAACACTGCAGCATAATAACATTGTCTTAGATAACATGAAACTCCACAATAGGTCCTGGATGGACCAGGCACCTACATTAGCACTGAATAGCTATACAAAAGAATAAGCTACTGTGTTCAATAAGGTCACTTCGTGTAATCACCATACTGCAGCCTAAATGTACAGCGCTGCACATAACACTGAACTGTGGATGAGATACTTCTTCATCCTTGCTGTCAAGATTGCATTAAAGTTACATGGGTACAAGTCTGGCTCGACTTATCCAATTACAAGTAACATTCCCAATAATGCAAGTGGCAGGCTTCGTTGTTAACTAGACCTCATATTTATCATAACAATTTAACAGCATTATAAAGGTATTTTTAGCATTATAACGGCAATCCTAATATTATAACAGCATTCCCAGTAATATAAGAACATAAACAAACTTACAGACAATGCTTCTTAAAGTCCCACAATGAACATATGCACCTGTCTTCACTGAGACGATATTTGTGCCTCCATGTTGTACTCTGTATAATGGCTGACACCCTGCCTCATGGCTTAGAGAATCATAAATCGTAACTTCCTGGTCACGTGACCAAAGTCAACACCATATCAGGAAATTCCTGTATACGCAGGATCAAGAATACCTGTATTTCATTGGGGCTTTATGATTGTTGTTGGACCTCCAGCAACAAAAGTAACACATCGGAAGGCAGCACGTTTGTTTTGCTGCCTCTGTGAAGAGAGGAGAACCCTGGCAGCAGCATTAGTTGTATGACAAAAACACACACGTGCTGTCCAGGAGTCTTCAGTGCTGCAGCTTTGTCTACTCAATCTAGGCTGCATGAAGTCAAGTGAAGGCCGCTACTGCGTGCTCACTTTAGGCTCAGATGACATGGTGGAGATCTTTTACAGGCCACAGAGATGGCTCTCTGTGCAAAATGACAACGTCTTTGGTTAAATTTACAGATCATGTCACATGTTTCACAAGAGTAGGCCTTCGTGAGTCTGTATCAGCCCTCAGCTGAAATTTAACAAGGAAGGGGAATCATGGAATCCGTAATGGTTCGAACATGCTTTTGAGTTATTTTTTTTATGAATAGATACTACCTGCTATTATATGGCTCACAAACATGGGCATGTGTGACATGATCGCATTGGCCAAAAAGGTTTTTCTATTTATCGCTGGATTTAATCGCCAAGTTTTGGGAAAGCCTTTGATCAATTTTCTCGGTTTTCTCCAATAACATTTACCTTTCATTTGATGATCTCCCTCAAACCCCTTGCCCTGCTTCAGACAGACAGACAGATGGACAGTTATAATGCATTCATGATTTTAAACTTAGTTGGAAAGTGTACAAAATAACACGTATCTAAAACACACACATAAAACTGTCCCCACATTGTTATTGCATTTGAAAATTAGCTCTCACTTTGTTAAAATCTATTACGTTAAATTATCCTTGTCACTGGTGCAAAAGTGCAGTGCACTAGACATTTGGCCTCTGTAAAACGTGTCCGGTGTTTTGAGGGTGCCGGTGAGGGATGTTGCTGTGAAACACGCGGTTTCCCATCAGGGACTCCTCCTCACTGCTGGGTGCCAGGGCAGGAAAAGCATCTCGGTCCATCGCCCTGGAGCTCAGCGAGGTTGAGAAGGGCGCGGTGCTTCATGAGCTCATGCACGTGTTCGGGTTCCATCGTGACCAGCAGAGTGAGTAACTTTACAAGCGGGACACATGCCCTTATGATGACGACATAGTTAAAATTAAAAATAATTATGCACAATATTTTACGGACATGAAAGTCTGCGACTGCTGCGCGGATTCAAGATCAGTGTCGCTCAAAAGCCAAGGCGAAAGAGGCTGGGCCTTCAAGTGTCCCTTAAAAGTCGGTGTGGATTGAACACTGCGATTGTGCAGTGGAATGGCTTTCCAGACGGCAGGGGCTGCCATGGAGAAACAATGACCGGCAGTGATGGTCCTGGTCCATGGTGTTGAGAGGAGGTTGTGAGTCGTGCTGCGGAGAGTTCTACCATGAGCTGTAGTGCAGGGTGACAGGGGTGAATTAACAGTGGTTTAACTCAATAGTCCAGCAAGTAGCGTGCCTTGCGCGATGGTGTAACTCAATTTGAAACAGTGTTTTACATATGTCTTATATTTAATTTCATAATATGTTTCAAAAAGTGAGTGCAAACAATCAATAAAAACTTGAAACGTTATTCTTCATGTTGGATCACTATTGATAATGTGAACAGCGTTCAGGTCTACGGTTCCAAGAGGAAGTGCTGGCAAACAATGATCGTTGCTTCTGAACCCGGAGCTGACACTGATGGATGGAACAAGGCCTGTGTGTCATGCCAGGCATTGCCATCAGTGGGGAGCGATAGTATAGCGGTTTGCACCCGCTGCGCGATGAACCCAATGACCTGAGTTTGATTTCTGCTCACGGCCAATACCAGTGAAGTCAACGAAGTGGCTTATTATGTGTACATTTATAGCAACCAAATATGCAGGGGAACCTAACTGTGGCAGACGGGTCACTTCCTCCGCAAGCTCTTGGGGGTCTGTGTTGCTATGGGAGAGGACAAGCAAACCATTGTATCTCACTGGCAGGAGATTATCATGATCCCGAGCCCAGAATTACCATGGGATTCTTGGAATTACATTTTTAAAAAGGAACGCACTCATCAATGATAATGTTGTCATTCCCTCGCACATTCTATTAGCATGGTTTGCTACGTATGGTGTGAAAGAATTTCAACATGCATACATACACAGAAGCAGCATCATCGTGCATGATACCGAATTGTTTAGGCTTCACTTTATGTGATACTGAGCATGCTTTTTGGTTGTCTAGATGGAAGCCATGACTGGGTCAAGCACCGAGATGGTAAAGTCTACATTCTCTACGATGTCTGCTCTGGTTTTGGTGAGTGCATCACACACAGCCGGCAGCCGTAGCTTCATATTTACGCTTTAGGGCTCTTTATAAAATAGAGATTATTATTATACTGGTAGGAACGAAGTGGACCAGCCTACAATAGATTATTTCGTCTGTCCGTCCGTCCCTCCGTCCGACTGTCCGTCCGTCCATGTAGCAACATCGCCCCCTACTGCAAACACTTGGCATGACCCTACAAAAACCTTTAGACTCAGTGACGCTTTCCTGGCTAAACAAGTGTAACATTCCCTTATAATTCCCTCAGATAGCTTTTAATTAAACATTTAAATTAATGAGGCTTTCCTGGCTAAACACGTGTAACATTCCCTTATAATTACCTGAGATAGCTTTTAATTAAAACTTTTAAATTAAATAAAAAAAACTCACAGCGCCCTAAAGCCTACAGCTAGGCCTAAAGCCTAGAACTAGGCCTAAAGCCTAGAACTAGGCCTCACAGTCTCCCTTCGTATCATACCCCCGCGTGTGTGAAAGGGAGTTAATGTTTAACAATGTTACATTCCCTCATGTTTTAAAATAGAAACATTTACATTTAAAGCTTTTACATTAATAATTAACACATTTACATTATACATTAATAATTAAAACATTTAAATTAAAAATTAACTCACAGCGACCTAAAGCCTACAGCTAGGCCTAAAGCCTACAACTAGGCCTCAAAGTCTCCCTTCGTATCGGTCCGATTAGGTGTAGCAACATCGCCCCCTACTGCAAACACTTGGCAGGACCCTACAAAAACCTTTAGACTCAGTGGGGCTTTCCTGGCTAAACAAGTGTAATAATACATTATGTTTATATTCTTTGGTTATTCGTTCCTACCAGCCCACCCCGCAGGGTCCTGTTTATTGCTTTAGCGAGAGCCCAATCTGGAGCTACTTCAGCTGGGACTGCTGACTCTACACAGGCCCTCGGCACATCACTCACTCATGGTTTGCCACATGGAGCCCTCTCGGTTTATTTTTAGCGCACGAATAATGCCACTTTTTTAAAGGAAATAGATGAAGCACCCAATTGAATGTGTTCTTCAGCCATTTCTAAGATTTCATGGTTTTTCATTGAAATTCATGATTTCCATGACCACCGTGACCTCTGTGACAAAATTTTAATCACCATAGTCCTTATCAACCAACTTATCGCCATCATCCATCATCATTCATCATCATTCATCATCCATACTCATGATAACGTAGGTTCTAAGAGTTGCACGTGTATACATGTACTTACTTAATACATATCATCCATCTTATCCATCTCCATCCTCACCAACATCTCATCATCTCAATCGAGCCCGCACCTCGTCCCCCGCTCCACATCGCCACCAGAAGGGAAGGAATGTTGTCCCCTAGTTCCCCGAATCAAACGCCCGGGATACGCTTTGTAACACAAGGATTACAAGGATTAGTGTCATTCTAACTTGGGGATACTATAATCATATGATTGTAGTTAATTATATTATGAATACGTATATTTAGATCATATGAGGATAATTTGATTCTCATGAGGATCATTTTTGAATGAGGAAAATATTATTATAATATAAGCACAGTGTGATTCTAATGTGAGGACATGCTTCTCTCTTTTAGACACCAATGACAAGGAGAACATCCAGCATGCAGTCAATGAGTTTGCAGAGAAAACCTGTGTTCGGCTCATCCGGAAAGACAACCAGGAGGACTACATCAACTTCCAGGCGCTGGACGGGTGAGCAGCAGTGAGCGGCGTGGAGAGAGAGAATGGGGTGTTAGAGAGAGAGCAGAGTGTAGAAAGTGAGTGGGGCATAGATGGTGAGCGGTGCGTCAAGGGTACATAGAGCTGATAGAGAGTGGGGTATAGAGAGAGAGTGGGACGTAAAGGGTGAGTGTGGCGTAGAGAGAAATGAGGTGTAGAGTGAGCGTTGTGTGGACAGAGAGAAGAGAGATTTATCGATTCAGATCTCTGCAGGGCAGGGCAACCCTTCGTGTTAGAAACCCACTGAAGGGGATATCACAGAACTACCTCTGAGATCCCCTAAAGTGACCAATGATCCAGAGTGGAAGGCAGCACTTTTTCACCTGCTCTGCATAGGAGACTTATGTTTGCTCTATGACAGTGAACCAAATGTTTTAAATCTCAGAGCTAGAAATTAGCCAAATTAAGTACAAAATTGCATTTAATGTAGTGAGATTGTTTTGTGTGAATTCATTGTTCACCAAATGAGACCATCAATTCATACACTTGAGAATGTAGTTTAATCACAGGCAGCTGCCTCGAATCAAACCCAGGATCTAAGCAGTGCCCCTCAGCTTTTTGAGGTTTCACTTGCAAGCAAAATGAACTCTTGCTGGCTCGAAAAGGGCTGATTTACTGCATTTGAATGTATTATTTGTTCGTGGCATTTTTGTCTTCTGTTGAGCGGAACAAACATTGGTAATGGCAAATTCAAGCTTAGAAAGCCAAGTAATAGTATTTCTTGTGGAGTGGATCTTACTGAGACCCTTACAGCATGCAGACGTAGAAATTTAACCCCTTCTCTGAACCAAGATTATCACACAATACAGTCTTTTTTTTACTTTGAAGGTCATCTTTCGTATGACATTTAAAAGCAACTGAGATATAATTTTAACTGTATGTTCAGTTTGGTATTCCATTTGATGGCATCGATAGTTGCTTAACATATAGCGTGTGTGCATCCTGTGTAATTGTCTAATGGGCAGTGCTCGGTTATGTGATGAACAGAATGCACATTGATAATTTGGCGACTCATTCATATTCCATTTATGAACAAAATAGCTGCACTAGTGTGCGTTTTTCAAACACAGCCAATTGCCTTCTACGCAGGCTTACGCCAGGTACTTCCTGCGTGGGGTGTTCAGGTAGTGACTTGCAAGCCATTCAGCTTTCATGCCACTCGCCACCAATAGCTAACATTCTTTTTGACTATCAGCAGTGGCTCCGCATAATGCAAGGTAATCATGACGTGAAGGTCATGGGGGTGATCGTGAAATTCCATGGGAATTTTCGCCACCAGGAGCTGGTCCTTCCTGGGCAAGAAAGGAGGGGCCCAGTCTTTGTCCCTGGAGCCCAGGAAGGTGACCAAGGGCATCGTTCTGCACGAGCTCATGCACACGCTCGGCTTCCACCACGAGCACTGTCGCAGTGACCGTGACCAGCACATAAAGGTCCACGAGGACAACGTCAAGGAAGGTGAGTGGTGCCACTAGAGTGAGTAAAGCATCCATGGGTAGGCATGCTATTCATTACTAGAAACGGCTTGTATTGCACAAAGAGCACATTAATTCGATGTCCAGTGTGTAGTTTACTTTAACGAGGAAGTGTCAACACAGCAGGTGCAAGAAACTGCCACGCAATCTTCCCATTGCTCGTGTTGCTTCCTCCAGTGCAGTTTTAGTAACGAACGTACAGATGGGCACGCGAACGATCGTTTTTGTTTCTACGACGGTCCGCAATGACTGTGTCGCGACCCGTGGTGGTGCGTGTGCTGCCACGTATGGGGAGCAGTGGTGTAACGGTTAGCGCGTTGCACTATGAATCCGGCGACCCGAATTGAATTCTCGCTCACGGCCAACACTAGTGACGATTATCTGAACCGGTCCTGGGCCTCCCCTAGGTTGACTCAGCCTCAAATGAGTACCTGGTGTGGTGTTTAAACATCGCCACTAGGGAGATAAAGGCAGCCGAGCGTGGTGCTGGCCACCCACCTTCCTCGTGTGCTGTGAGAGCCTCCATAGGTGCTCACTAACAGCACTTGCCCCAACATTCTGTTAAGGCTATACGGGAGATCTTTGTCTTTTGTCACATGCGGCCGGGCAGCACCGCACTCACGGCGCTCACTCCACACGCCGATGCAAGGGTTCACGTGCTGCTCACGGGTTGGCTCGTTAAAACAAGTACCACTTTATGGGATGTCCACAGTGGTCATCCTATAGAAGCACTGGTCTCCACCATAGGTTTGTGGAATACCACCACACTCCCAGAGCCACCAGTGGAGATAAGTTCCACTCTACACGCATTTGAGCTGGAGAAACTTCAGCTGGAGTTTGTTTTAATCCAATTATGTTATTCACCGGAAAGGTGGTCTACCTGTAGAGTGAGTGTACTCCACTCAGAAGGTTATGAGTTCAAATGCCGGTGATGGGGTTGATTCAGCCCATTATTTCTCTCAGGTAAATGCAATGAGTACCACCTTGTGGAGAAGTCAACAGTGGTCGTCTTATAAATGGACCTGCCCCCACCATAGCAATGTGGAATTTTCAACACTGCCTCGAGGCTCTACATGGAAGATGAGTACTGCCTTCATGCTCATTTGAGCAGGAAATTATTTTGAGTTTCTCATCCTTGCTCCCATATAAATAAACAGTGCTGGGCTAAAACAGTCACAGCACAGCCTCGTATAAATACTGGAATTATCACTATTAATCCAATATACAGCTCTTGCTAGAGTTTATAATGTCACATTACACAATATAGCACTGATGCTAACCCTCAGTACGTACCGCTGGGTAAAACATTGCACTGGAGGGCTGATATTGGAACCACATTTTCCATGCAACTGGTGCTGTTTGTGCATTGAAGTTACTTGAATAAGAAGAACATCACTGTTACACTTTATAACGATCCCTTTTCAAGATAAATAAGGGGTATTTTAACGCCATGCCTTCTCACAAATAATTGTGCAAAATATTACGTTAAATTTAACATCATAAACAAATACATCGAGTCGGGAAGAGCAATGGTGTAGGTTACCCAAGTTAGTATTCCCGGCCATAGTTAACACCAGTGTACGACGTTACTGACGAACGTATTGTTTTTTTTTTGGGGGGCACCCTCTTTCACCATACTGCAATCCCCCAGCGTGAAGTACGGTCAAACAACCTCCACGACTGACATGACGTCGTGGGGAAGCCTTTATCCTGCTGTGGATTGAACTTAGGGCCTTTTATTATTTTATTTAAGCACTGAGCAATATTACCGTCCATTTACTCCAACAGCTCACAGCACTCGAAAGAAGTCAAGCCACTTGTTGCACACGTTCCACCTACCCAAACGCTACCCCAACAATCTAACTGTGTGCGCTCTTGGTAGAACCGGTAGCAATTTCCACACCTCCGATTCGCACGGTTGGCTATGTACGGTGCGAAAGAAGTTCAACCTACATACATACAACATGATGAAAGGTGTGTTTTGTAGATGCAAGCATAAAACCAATGTTGTCGGTTAATAAGAGCCACGTGTGCCTGCTACCTGCAGATGAGCTTGGGCAGTTCAAACGGCTGGAATGCAGTGGCTGTAGAGAATATCTGCCCTACGACTACCTCTCGATCATGCACTACGGCAGGTGGATCTCACACAGGCTGTGGCCTTCACTAGCATGAATGCAGTAAAACTTCTCAAAACCGGATTAATTTGGGGAAGGGAGCCTTTCTGGTTATAGAGGGATGTCTGGAATACTGCAAATACAGTAAAATTCAGACTAACTGAACCCCAGCTAGATGAACCCAGGCTAGCAGTTCGGGGTGTGTGAGGGTCTGATGGGCGAGGAGGGTGGACACCACCCCAATAAACTTTCATCTCATATACTTAAATAACAAAAAACAAGCATGAAAAGCAGGAATCAAGAATACCATGACATAACAATTTTACGTAAAGCCTATTTCTCCCAGGGCACATGAACACTCCCACCTGCTGTGCTACGAGACCACACAGAAGGGCAGTAACACAACTTCCTTGGAATTTCAATCCTTTGGGCGTCCAGAAGTTTACCAGGAAGTCTGATGGCGTTCTCCCCTGTGAATAGGGGAAGCCATCTTGAAATCCTCCAACACGGCCTGATGATGCTCGTAATAGTCACCACCTCATCCACATCTTTTTCAGCCTCTCCTTGGCCTGGCTATCTGGATTTACATTTAGCTGGACCAACGCTCTTGATTTTTTGTGTTCCACATTTCTGCTTATTACTGTTTACATCTCTTTGGTGCAGCCTCAACAAACGTCAAGGATTGGTACATAACAACACCACGCAATACAGTCATCGCAACACGTAATTCTGTAAACGCAAAACAGTAGTTTTTTCATTATATTTTTCCATAGTGTTGTAAATTAGACTAAATGTATGAAGAAATGTATTTTAATTATTTTTAAGTGTTGTCCATGCTAGGTATGTATTAGGGGGGGGGTGTGTCGTTAGCAATGAATTACGCTGTATTCACAACTGGCCAGAGTTTTTGGTTACCCGGACCAGGGCTCACTCTTCATAGTGCGGCTCACCGAGAGATTTTACTGTAATTCCATAATTGAGAAAATACACATTTTTATTACATTCTTCGGAAATTAATTTATACTTAATAACAAATAACTAAATATTTTAAATATTTGATGTTTATCATTTAATAGCAAACAAAATACAGTCATACCCCACTTACACCCCTGACAACCTCCTAAACTTTCTTCTAATTTAATAATTTCAATAAAAATTCTGGTTTTCAGGAATGCATCCTGGGTGTAAATCGGAGTATGTCTGTACGAAAGTGTACAGTTTATTCCGAGTTACCATCGCCTGTGAAGCTTAAGGTGGATAGTTAAGACTCAGTGCCGCTCCTATAAACAACACTTTAGACATGAAACTCTCTCGTGCAGGGAGCAATGTAGGGTCTGTTTGGTGGTTGAGATGAATAATACATCGGTGTCCCCGGCTACATGGGAATAAATGAGTTGCAAATGCAAACTCGGCAGGCTCGTGTTTGGCACTGATGTACGCTTGGCTTACAACCTGTAAACTTCACCTCAATTGGTCGTCATCTGTGCTAAGGAAGGAATTGATTACAGATGTGTTAAGTAACCGGTAAATGGTTTAGTGTGGTAACCAGTCACTCAAGTCCAGTGTGTAACGCGCTGATCTCCTCTCTAGGTATGCCTCGTCCTCGGACTACATGAGTGAGACGATCACCCCACGACAACAGCTAGAGCTCCCATCGGCCAGAGGAGCGGCCTCAGCCCCCTGGACGTGCTCAGGGTGCAGCGCAAGTACCAACCGGTTCGTCACCGACACCTTGATGTTTAATGAGCTCACAGCACTAATTTTCCATGAACATAGCACGGTGTTAGAATCTGAGCCATGCAACACGTGTTGCCATTTAGTTGCCATAATTGCTTTGTTCTTACAAATGTCTGTGGGAACTTGTTTGTGTTTTGTTTGTTGTCCTTCCCCCGCATCTCCTGTTAGCACAGTTGGCGACGTACGGTACGAAATATTTTATACCCTACGTGACTTTACCGAAAGAACCAGAGTATGGATTCCTGCAGTCACGAAAGCTTCAAATCAAGATGCATACATTTGTTAACAGTGGGACATGTTGCACTGCTTAAAAATGTTCTTCTGCAGGCATATTTGGTATCTTTTTTTTATTGTAAAATTCAGTTTTACAAAAGCACTCCACCTTGCTCGCGTTCGCTCGTTCATTTAATCATGTTCTCGATTCACCTTAATTAACTACCCTATATATAGATATACATGAAAAAAATCTGCTGTGTTTTCCACGTGTGTCCCTTTCAACAGTTATTCCCATTGGTTTAGCAAGCTCTTTATTCATGGCGTTTGTTTTGCTCATTCATCTTGAGCCCAACGTTGCAGCC